GTCATTTGACCATTCTTGCATGATTAACACCTATCTTCTCTACTAGATTGGAGACTTCCTGAGGCCATGGAGTGATATTCAGGTGTATCTAGGTGACTTCTGCTGTGCCGGATGTTAACCCTTTTGCTGTTGGACTATGAGGAGGGAGTACGGGTCCCATGGGGATGGCAGCTAATTAGGAGCTGGTGCGGAAGTATTCAGTATTGGATCAGCCAGTGCCTTTGTGTATGTGTATCCTCAGCCTCTCGCACAGGGTCTGCTACAGGGTAGGCGCTCAGCAAAGACTGTTGACCGAACGTCTTCCCTCTCTGAGGTACCTTCAGGTGAATGATGTGCCCTTTGGAGACAATGCCCATGTCTTTCAAGTCTTCTTCCTCCAGAAGAAGCAGTCGCTTTCCTGTAATGTTGTTTTCCTTAAACAAGCTTGCATATATGCTCATCTCTGCTGAAGAGTCTCCTGAAGGAAGGGATCAGAAGGCAGAACAACATTAGAAGAAATCCTGTCCAGAGCAAAGTTAACTGCATGAATTAAGAAGGTTAAGTTATTCCACTTGCCTTTTCTGACGAGCTGCTGAACCCAAAAATACTGTGAAAGAGAGGACATACATGGTTTTGAAGATTCACACGTGGTCATTGGCCGACTTCACAGTAAAACACACTTTTCAATAGATTAAAATATCTGTAATTTTCTGACTCAACCACAAAGGTAAAATGAAAGACATTCTCTTTATGGTTTTAAAACTTCAAGCTTTCAAGTAGGAGATATCCCTCCCTGTGGAAGTCTTGGGACACTTAAGGGAATGTTGGTTTTCCTCCTTATTTGGGAGATTTTTAAAAATCCTTCAAGAAGGTTCTTACTTATAATGATTTTTCTTTTTATGTGCTGGTGGTCCCTGGGGTTGCTGAGAGGTACTGGTTTCCCCGGGAATTGTATGAGGAACAGGGACCACACAGCGGTGGACAGAGGAGTGGGCAGAATATGCCCTGTGTTCTAGGCCTGGTCAGGAAGTAGCTATGTGGCCCAAGACAGGTTAAAGCTCAGAACTTCCTGTATAGAATGAAGTTGGACCCAGTGACCCTCAGTCCCTGAATTTAACTTGGCACGTGTTTATTGGTAGCCTCTCACATAGATGGAAGGGAGGCCAGACCCAGTCCCAGCAATTCTCTGGGGAGCCCTTAACCCTGGGATTTTATTTACATGGCTTGAAAATCACTCGACCTCAGAGAAAAGACTAAAAATAACTATTAGAGCTCAGTGCTTTTTAAAAAATTTCTTCTCAAATGAGAGGGGCCAACTTTGCAGCTCGGGATAAAGAGATTCTATCCAGGCCCATGAAAAAGGAGATCCTAAGTTCTTTTTCCTTGTTAAAGCAGGGCTGGTGGAACTTTACAATCAAGGAGGCCCAATGAATGGGAAGAAGTGGAGACAAGTGGTGCCAAGTTTTCTTACACCCTATGCTATAAGCCAAAGTTAGCTAATGTTGAAAACAGTTTTACTTCACCAGAATACAGTAGGCAGAGAGGAAAATGCCCCAGTCCAGAAACCAGGTTGAGTTAGGTAAACAGACCTTCCTAAGAGTTTGCAGTAGTGAGTTTGTACCCTGTGGCATCCGGTCTGTCCCCTGGGGTAGGGGCTCCCTGCGGCCTGGCATTACAGCTGTTTTTCATATAATGATACCTTGAGCATATAAAGAGGACCTGGACAGGCGTAAGCCCCTGAGGTCTCTGATCAAGAATTTTCTGGGCCTTTCACTAAAGACACAGAGAGACGCAACAGGCTAAGAAGGATTACCCCTTAGGGTTTCTACCCAAGTGTAAGGTATAGAACTTCCTTTGGACCTAAATAATCTGTCCTCATCCTTTGGCTCCAGCTGCAGAGAATGTCTGGGAGCTGGCGGCCATTCCTCCTTGGGAAGGCCAGAGTAAAGATGAACCTGTCACTTCCAAACAGGCCTGAGGTAGGAAGGAAACCCAGTTCTGCAGAATCCCAGCTAGCACTGCCTTTACCACATCTTTTTCCGCTGTGGTTCAAGTCCATCCTTGGTATTATAGGAAAATTTAAGATCAAATTTTTTTTTCACAAATGTTCATTCGGTATCCTGGATCACTCCTTTAACACTGTCATTGGTATTCATGGTAGTATTCTGGAATACCTTTCAGAGCAAATAGGGAGGTGGAATCCTCTTGTAAGATTTGAAGAGATACTTGCTTTGCTCTTGAGGCCTTATTTTAAATCATTACTGCATTAAAAATAGAAAAGCAAGGAATTTGTCAACTTCTCCTACTTAGACTTTGCTAAGGCCCAGACCCCTCGGGCTGCATTTGTAACTTGTGGACGAACGTCTGAACCACCTGCCCGGGCCAAACGAGGCGTTAACAGAAGCAGGCTTACCACGTCGTCTTCAGTCCACGAGCCAATCTCAAAGGAGGGCAGCAGCTGCATGGGAAATACGAACGCAGTGAAAAACAAAAGCAATATTACCATTGTCTTTTTGGCTTATCCCTTGTCTTCCCATTTCAGCTTTCCACTGCTGCTCTGGCTTGGTTCCTCCTACAGGTGAGGTTCCTGACCGTATGGGCCATTTCTCAGTGCCCCAAGCACTGTGCCCACAGAAGCCAACCACGGGCACCAGCTCCTCTATGACAATTCCTTGCACTTGGCGAACTGTGGCAGCGGGACTGTAGATCTTGATACCGTCCTCTCTTGGTACTTGACACACACATCTCCCTCAATGGGGCTTGGCAGTCAAGAGTTGCTGACATTTGCCAGAAACCAGAGCCGCCCTTGGAATTCACAGTCAGCATGAAGATCACATGATTACTAAAGAAAACTCCAAAGCAACTCTTTGGTACTCAGATGACTTACATGCTGCTGTTCACAGGAGAATTTCTAAGTGTTTAACCAAATGACTCATTGGCATTAACCAAGTATTAGGACCCATGGATGAAAGACGAGTTAGATGGGACTCTGTCCCAAGAAACCCAGGTTGCAGAGTTTGCTATAATGGAAACTCAACTAACCTATCAGGGGTAGACACGAAAGGTGCCTTTGCAAAAGAACGTTGGCCTGCATCATTTGCAAAGCCAGAGAGCTACTCGTTTCAATATGTGCCCATGGCCACAGACTAAATGAGACATGCCTCCATAATCTGAAAAATCTTGGTGTGTCCTGTGTCTTGAGTTAAAGTTTGCCATAGGCATTAGCTTTAACTAACTTATCTTGCCAGAATGGTTGGATTGCTCATAAGAGAACATGGCAAAGTGTCTTTCAACCTTTGTTACAGAGATTTTTTCTGTGAATGAGTGGAAAAAAGAAGTTGAATTTGGTTGCTTTTCATATTACTCTCAAAATCAGAGGGTGGGTGAGTTAATCCTTCTAATCTGCAAATATTTTGAACTCACATGCTTAAATCCCTGCTAGGAAAAGTATGCCCCTCCCTTCAAGCAGCTTTTAATTTAATTGGGGGTGAAATAGATATGAAATAGATATGGATTATAGATGGAGGAGTTCAAGGCTACCTTCACGCTGGTCTACTCAGTGCCTGGCATACAATCCTTGGTAAGTTTTTGTTGAACCATGTTTTTGAATGAATACAACTGCAAGGTACATTTAACTAAAATGCTCAGTTCTCTGGGTTTAGCACGGGAAAAGCGAGGGTTTCACAGACTAAGATGGGGGAACAGAAGGCATGGTGGTTTGAGCTGGGTACTATAGGGCAAGAAAGAGGGAAGCGATTCTGGGTGAGGAGAGGCAAGAAGGCCAAACACTGGCAGTGGTAGGGGGCAGAGGAGGGAAGGGGGGCATGTTTGCCTTACCGGAGCACTGGATGCAGTGTGAGCATGTTTGGAGGATAAAGGGGAAACGCTTAACAGCTTTGCTGAAAATGCTTAAATTCTCGCTGGCAACGGTTAAAATCTCTAGGGAGCCAAGCAGGTTTAAAACAAAACAAAACAAACCTGCAAGTTACAGGATATTTGAATGTGTAGAGTTTGAATATTATGGCTAAGCTGCAAGGGTATAAATCACTGCTCTTCTGTATGTACCCATGTGCCCTAGTTCCCTCAGGATTGCCCCTCTCCTCCTCTGAAATACTTGACATGTGTCAGAATCGTCACATGCACTCACCTGCTTCAATGATGCAGAAAGGAAAATGACTTGAAGAAAATCTAAAACTGAATTTGATCACAGAAGGTACATGACAAGTCTTATGTCTTCACAAGGCAGCTGAATACACGCTGCAGAAATGTGTCATTCCCTTTTCCCATCACAGAAACCAATGTGAAACAAGGAACTTTTTTGAAAAGTTCAAGGAACAATAGACTGAGTTACAGAAATATTTCCCTGCATTAAGGCTAGCCTCTACAGGGAGTGGGGCGATTGTAGTGTTTTGGTTTGTATACAATTCCCAAATGGTGTGCTAAACAAAATAGAGAAATAAGTATTTCTTGAATAAAAGTTGTACACGTGACAACTAATCAAAACCAACATATTTGGTTTTAGGGTCCAAAGGAGAGGGGAAGAGTTCTCGAGCCTTCTGAGGGTGACTCAGCAAGATTTTGATGCCGAGAGAAAGGCACAGATTCAGCTTGCTAATCCCTCCGGCAGGATTCTTGCCCCAGGCTTGCAGAGATCAGTGAGGGGGAGGCGGGAGCCAGGCACTACTTCAAGACGGTTTGAATTTGGCAAGACCGAGGTAAGAGTTAATGATCTCCAGCCACATTGTGGTTTACCATTTCCTTTATGCTTTCTGTACCTTCTTAGCATGTCAGTGTATCTGCTGTAGGGTGAGCTCTAAGCCTTTTGTTCTTTGGGGATTAAAAAAAAAAATCCACCTTGTGGACTGTCCCATCACTTTGCAAATTCGTTATTTATACCCAACTGATGTCGGGAGAGAAAAGCTCACATTCGTGTGCATGCATGTGACAGTGATTCCTTCCAAGGATGTTGGGAATCCAGTCTAGCAAAGATCTAATATACACAGCAACACATTACAAAGGGATTTACTGTCAAAACGTTTATTGCAAAATGGAGTCTTAAAACAAAGAAAAGCAAAGAAAAGTTCACATCAAAATGAAATGTATGACACCAACTTGGATTTCTGAATACATTGTGGACTCTGTGCTGGAATATCAAATTCCAACTACGAAATCGATAATGAGTAGTCTTACCACACACGAGTGAAATGTAATCTTCCATAAAACATTATACAAGATATATGGCATAGGATTTGCTCAGAATAACATTGTAATAGAATAGTTGAGGAAAAGGTTTTGTTAAAAAAATAAAGTGATAATGCCATCCTGTATTCGAAGCGCACACTCCAAGAATATAAATATTTCCTATTATTTAGTACAAAATTTTTTAAAAGAGCGCAAAAGCAGTATGTGCAGTGTATCGTATCTGCCGTTAAAAGATAAGCTATTCTGCACATTATATAAAATAATTAATGTAGCTGCTGAAAACGCTAGTTGTAAAGTCAGTAATCACATGCCCGAAAGCTCCTCCCAGGCCACAGAATGCAACTCAGCTGCAGCCCGAGGGAACGGCGTAGCCCTTCGGGTTCCCTGGTACACACTCCCTTTCCATCACAGAAATGCTACCACTTGCAGGCTGGGCCACAACCCAAACAGAACAGAACAGATTCTTCTCTCTGGCAACGCTTAAAGTCAGAACAGGAAAGCAGTCTGACTCCAAAGCAGCAAAAGGTGCCTGATGATAGAAAAATGATGCTCTACCATAAACGTGGTGTGGTGAGACAATGCCCGGTGTAACAGGCCCGCAGCGAGTCCAGTGTTACCAAAAACCAAAAAGGGTATCAACATTTAACTCAGAGTAGCTTTTAAAATGATCTTTTATGAAATGCTCAGTGAGCACTCTGAAAAATAAAGTTATGTACACATCACAGTGCTATGAGAAGTCCTTCTGGCTCTCTCCCACATCTTACCTCCGACTCCTTGATTTTAATGGGGATCTGTTCTGAACACCTCAGCTGTTGCTGAAGTCTAACAAATGTGCTGCGTGTTAAAAACCACTGGCTGCACGCCGGCCCTCAACATTTCCAGACCATCCAAAACAAGTGTGCTCTGTGCCTTCAACTGCCTCCCCTTGGTTATGAAATGTAGAATATTAAAATGTGATTTTACAACAGGGAGTCCTTTTAAATTAACCTCCCTCGGTGATGGGTTTCTTTTTTATTTTGGAATTAGTCTGATAGGAGAGGGACCCCCTCCCCCAAATACATCATTTTGCTATTTTATAAAGTCTCCACCAGCATTCTTCAGGGGAAAGAACCCATTTTTCTACAGGTGGGGATTTAAGATAAATGTCACCAACCTACAAAATTCATATTGTATAGCAGTTGTCATTTTGAAACTGCATCTTTTGACTTGAGCAAGTTTGTTTAGGTGGGAAATGAGATGTAGAACTCTAAAACTGCCAGCTTTAGCAAGTTTCTCAGTGGGGGGAGGGACAATGCTGTTGGTATTGTGGATGGAGTTCTTCACTGGGTGGGGCTGCCCCTGGCGCTGGGCACTCCACACACGCCCAGTCCCTGTGACAACCCAAAATCTGTCCCAGCACTCGGGAACACCATTAGGGGCCCCAGAGGAAAGTGTATGATCTGTATGATCGACTATATGAATACAGAAAAAAAGATGAAGAAGAGTAGTTATGTTTTCAGTTGTATGGCTCTGACAATTATTACTACAGAGTTTGTTATCATTTTGAATCTTTAAATTTCTTAGTGTTTAATTATTCTCTTTATAAATGTACATTCTTGTAAGTCAAGTAACTGGAAATACATCCAACATCAGTAATTTGCCATTTCAAAAACTGATCTGAAAAGTGAATTAGAAGGTGCACAATTAACATCATCTTTAGAAATTCTATGTAATAAACAGTTCTTTTAAAAAGTAATAAAACTAATAATAGAGTCTAAAAGTCTTCTACATAATCTTCACAGAGTGAGACCCCTTTAAAATTCTGTTTATATGATTCAGATTTTAGGGATGTTCAAAACCGTAGAAAGACACTGATTTGGAACAGAGTAAAATAATGCTGTGTGGCAATTAAAATACGATGCCAAGTGGAGAACAATTTCATGCTTATCACTGAAGCTTTCAATTCTGCTGTATCCTAAATCCCTGAGGTTTCTTCGTGGTAAGAGTATGGAGCTACAACCATCTCTGGAATACTGGTGAGGAAAATGGCAGCACTTGAGAGATTGGGGAAATCTTACCTAATTAATGGTAAACCTTGGTCTGAGTATAGAGAGTCCTATTACCTTTCACTTTGGGCCCTAACTGGCTCCTTTTATTAATGCACCAAAATTTTATGTGTAATTACAATAGGTTTATTATGTAAATGAAGAAAAATATCAGTTTCATTCTGTTTATATGTTCTAATTTTGTTGATGATTCTTACAGAGGAGAGACAGGGTTTAGATTCTTATGTAAAGGGCACAGATCCCAATATCAGCCCAGAGATTCCTGTCAGTGAGGCCTTCTCTGCCCAGTGTAAACTCCGCAACACTCCCCTGTGTGTGTTATCCTCTTTCCCCTGCTCCCCTTCTCAGCATGCTCTTGTCAAACGTTTACATAACGTAAGGCATTTGTTTTGTTGATTGTCAGGCTCTCTGCTCACTGGCATGGATGCTCCATGAGCGCAAGCATTCCCCTCTAGCTGGTCCCTCGAACAGTACCTGGCACAGAGAGGGGGCTCAATGAATATCTGTGGAACGAGTAACTATCTTTACCAGAAAGATGTGCAAGAGGCTTTTAAACTGCTTCCTCTTTGGCTCTCTCCTTCAGGTTGCTAGACCACAGTGACCTGGACATGCTGCAAAGTCGAGAATTGAAAACCATCCCTCTGCTGCACTCCCAGATGTTCTGCTTGAGGGGCTCAGCCTGAGGGAGGGAGCACATCTCTGCTGAGCACAGACAGGATGCCTGGATGTGCTCGTGCCTGGGTGCCGCCAGGACTAGCTTGGCGGTGAGCACGTATCTGTGTATGTTTGCATGGACAGAAGGTGTGCCACTGGCTACTAGGGAACCCATCCTCTAGGGGAAAGGTCTACCTATTCCTTCTGTTTTTACTTAGTCTGTGGGTGGAGGCAGGGCCTGCAAACGCCTCAGGTACATAGGCTTCAAAGAGCAACAGATTAAATTTGTTTATATAGTTTATATTCTAAGAATGTTCTCTTATATCTTTCTTGAAAGCTATTCACTTTAACTTCCGTCTCCTACTACTCAACAAACATGACTTGAAATTGATAGTTTTGTTTTCCAGGTTACTGTAACTACTTATTTTTTTAGTATCTTTTCACTGGCTAAAATTAACTGACCACTTACCATGGGCCTGGTACTGTGTTAAGTGCTTTACATGTAATATTTCATTTCATCCTTACAACAGTCCTTTCAAGTGGGTCCTGTTATTATTCCCATGTCAAAAATGAGCAGACAGACACACAGAGGTTAAAAAATTTTTAACAGATTACACAGCAGTTCTGAATCCTAATTTGACTCCGGATTCTTCTATCTCACTGTGTATAGTATATAGATTGTTCTACATTTCACACCCAGAACATTTTAATAGTTATTTTTCTCCAAATAAAGCTGGCACAGCGTACTGATCATTTTGTGATATTTTTCAGCTGTTAATAGGGATTAGAAGCATGTCATGTTTCAAATTTCAAGAGGCTTTTTATGATTGAATATAGTTGGAAATAGTATTAGATAATATCTATGATGATATCCTTTCTTAAATTTCCCATAAAAAGAACCACCAGAAGTATTTTAGTTTAATAGTCAAATGAATGGCACTTCTTCCCAATGCAGAGTGAAAAAAAGTTCTTGTGCCTTTGCCTTTCTGTGTGTGTGTGTGCGCGCGCGTGCGTGCGTGTGTGTGTATGCGTACATATATATGACTACAAATGTTTTGTAGTTTTTTTATCAGTGTTTTACAGTTTAAACAAGCTTTGACAAATATGATAACATTCTGAGAATATTTCTCTGGTGAACTAGGTTGTCGGAGCAGCACCTGCATTTACTCCCGTTTAACACTGGCATGGCTGAGTCAGGGTTAAAAGAAAAAAAAAAAGACAACTCTGGAAGGCTGGATTTGATCTAAAAAGGACCCTTCATCGGGTACTTCTGTCTCAGTAAGTTTAACTTACCTGTGCTATTCCTTTCATAATCTTTTCGTTCCCTCTTTGAAACCTTTATACATGTATCTAGAACCCAGGATGCTCCTGCCCCTCTGGAAAACAAACACATGCACACCGCACGGGGGGTGCACAGCTGGTCTGTGTCAGCACTTGGTATCAGCCTACAAGTAGCCCTTTAAGACCATCTCTTTCTCCTTTTATAAACTAAGCCTTAGATGACTGTGTGTTGTTCAGAAGCTTCCAGGACTAGCACTGGTATGAAAGCCTACAACATCTGCTGTTGGTTTCAAATTAGAGCATTTCTTCTCCCAATGTACTATTGAGAATATCTCTCAGATTTTATTGTGAGTAGTTGTGCCATTAAGGATCGAAAATTCTTGGCATTTCGGTATTTCGGAAGAAGTATTTGTTATAGCCTTCTTTCATCTCAGTTTTTTTATTGTAAGATTTTGTAGTCACTATCAATTATTTCTGACAGTGCAGTGTATTATCATAAGAAAAAAAATGTAGTGTGTTACAGGAAAATCAGTGTCAAAGAAGAATTAGAGGAGGTAAGAGTGCTTTTTCAAAATGTAAGTCTTCTTAAGCAATTAAATAAATGAAATCAAATCAAATACAAACGTTAAAGTATTTGTTTAAAAAAAAAAAAAGCCAGAATGTAATTAGTTAAAACTACTATATTGTAATAGAATCACAAATTTCTATAATCAGGCACCACATTTGCTGACTCATTAAATATACCTTTCTGGCTTAATCCCCCCCGCCCCCCATTTTTCTGTAAGCAGAAAAAAAAAAGTAAAATCATTCAAGAAATGACTGTCATAGAAATGTGATTGGCCTACAAATTCAGTGCTTAGTTTTCTGCCTCCTTACTGGTTTTTGTACAGACTGAGATAGCAAGTTTCTTTCGTTTTTCCAAACATTTTCAATTTTATTACTTTGCTTTCTGGTTTCATTCACTATTGTTATCCATGTCATTATCCTCCTCCTCACCGTCATCATCATCATCATCGTCACCTTCTGACAAGTCAAAATCACTGAACCCCAGGGCCATGTTGACCTTCTTCCCCCTTCTCTTAGATGTGGTTTTGGAAGAATTCTGCTTGGCTTGCATGTTTATCTGCATCCCAGAATGCAACACAGCTCCTGCTTTGTTCATGGAGAAGACATCCCCAAAGCCCATCAGCATCATGGCCTGCAGACTCTGGTTCATGCCATGGCCCTCCCCGTTACTTGCTGCTGTGATCTGACATGACATCTCTGCACTGTTTGACTCCTCTGTCTTAGATTCAAAGTAAGACTCCTCAGACATTCTTGCAGCAAGAGGCAAGAGAAGCTATCATGAGGAAAGAAAGGACAGAAGTAAAAAGAGAAATTAGGACCAATTTAAATAAAAGAAACAGATACCACAAAATTAGTGGGTGCTGCACCGAAGGTAAATGATTAGTGAAACAAATGAATGTCGGGAATTATGTGAGAATTTATTTAATGGCAGGTTTGGCTCCAGCATATTTGCCGTAATTTATAAATGACAGAGTAAATCACAACCAAAAGTTTGCAAAGCATCATGGCAGGCCAAATTTCAAATGGGAAGGAAGTTGCAAGTTTTAAGCCCTCATATCACTTAAAATAGTTTTGAGGATTGCACTTAATTTTTCCCAATTTCACTTTCACAGAAACATTTAGCTAACTATGAAATTAAAAAAGAAAATAAGTAGAGATTAAATCTCAAGTAAAAAAATCAAGAAATGTTGTACCAAAGAATAAAGCTTAGAGGAAGCGTGAGAACAGTTCAGTGGTAAATACCCTTCTACGGAAACCTGGGCCATTAATCTCCTTTTTATCTAGATTACTATTTGACACTAAACTAAAAATGAGTCTAGAATTCACTGGTTTCCATTTATTATTTATTACAGCCAAATATGCTATTCAACTTATGACATAATTCACATGTAAACAAACTCTAGATCTGTCTCTAATAATTTATAAACAAGTATGTAAATACAAATGACAATTGGGAGGAGAGGGAATTAGTATTAATTTAGACTGTTACCTTGTGCTCTATTCTCTAAGTGTCCTTTTAGCAAAATTTGTTTTCTAGGAATTCCCCCTCTCACCGTGGACACTGACATCTATTTTCTACCTTATGTAATTATTTTGAACAGCTAACCTATTCCCATTAAGTATTGATCATATTCATTTCAGAGGTAGAATTGTCAGGATCTAAAAAGTGTTCCTGCTTCTTTTGAGGAATAAGCAAACTGAGGCTTATATTTTTGGTATTGCTTAAATATTGGTAAATTTATGATAAACAATTTACAAGTAACATACGGAATGACCTTTACATCCTGGATGTAAAGATACATTTTAAGGTCGATTTCCTAATTTTTAAATTGGAGTTTTGGGGTTTGTTTGTTTTTTTAAGTTTTTTTTGTTTTTTTGTTTTTTTTAAAGTAATCTCTACAACCTATGTGGGGCTTGAACTCATGACGCCAAGAGATCAAGCGTTGCATGTTCCTCCAACTCAGCCAACAAGGCGCCCCCTGGAGTCACAAGTTTTTTTAAAAAATATCTTACTCTATTAGGAAAAGATCTCCAGAGTTGTTAGCTCATTAACAACTTCATAAGCTTCAGCTAAAAAGTACCAGTTATATGGAAGAAAAAAATTGCTTTAGATCCGTTAACACTGGAAACAGATGTTACTTCCCTTGCAGTCAAACTTCCCAGCTTTTCAGATTTGTTTTCAAATGTTAGATTCTCTTAGGGAGTGCTTTGTTGCTGATTTATTTTATTATTTCATGGGTCCTTCCTCACATTATGTTAAGTTCTCAACAGCTGTCTCTCAAGTAAGTTTTTATTTTGAAAAAAAATTTTTACATCAAGCTACAACAACAATTAAAAAATAAACATTGTCCATATTTATGTATGGAGAATTCATCTTCCCAGATACCTTCAACTAATGTTTTAATTTCAGGAAAGATAATAGTGTCCTTCCTAAAAATCCAATAATTCCATCTTTTATGAAGTTACATAAATGTTAAACTTTTATAATTAAGATGAGGCTACACACATATGGAAAGCCTAAGCCTCCAGCTACTTCCTTTTAAAAAGGTTTGTTTTATCTTTCTCTCAGAAACCTCATTTAAAGTCAACTAGAAACTGATGTAAGGATAAAAGAAAATACCTACTTAGAAAATGCCTGAGCACAAACTTTCTTTCCTTCAGAAATACCAGCTCTAAGCAGAAGAGACATTAAAAGCAAGTACTGTAAGAAAGAAAACTTAGCCCTCATAGGTAAAAAAAAGAAAAAAGAAAAAGAAAAAAAGAAAGAAAAAAAAAATCTGAGACCATGCTTCATACTGTCCATTGTTAGATGGTAGCCTTCAGAGCAGGTCCTTTACAGAAAGTTTTCTGGAGTTAAAACGCAAGCATATAACCTACTGAGCACTCCTACGGTTTCATTATGTTTTACACAACAATGTTACTAATAGCAATAATGTGTGCAAGGCAGCCCATGATTTCTTAGCAAAACTAATGCCAATAAACCAAAGAAAGATTCTAAGGCATACTGTAACAGGTATTTTAAAGTTTTTTTTTTTTTAACAATGCTACATTTAGAAGGAGTCAAGCCATGCAGTGCTTTATAGCTTAAGATTTCAATGTACTTAAAAACAAAAAACAACACCTCTCAGCCTTCAGAAGACAGCCATATTTCTGCCTCTCCTGAGCTCTGGGAGAAGCAGTGCTCCTTGCAGACCCTTAGGGTAATGCTTTCTGAGTCTGCCGGTTGGTACCAATTCAACCAGAACAGGAGACTTCCCTCGACTTCCTTCTTGGGAGGCAAGTTAAATTCACTGAACTTATAAAATGTGGTACCTTTTAGTACTGGTAGTCTTACGTATAGCAATTCAGTTCTTACTTTGGAAATCCCTGCACAGCCAAAGTCATTTCGGAAAAAGTTAAATCTGATAATAAACATTTAACTTCACTGTATTTCCCTTTTCTGGATATCAGGTTGCTTCTCCACATGAACTGGAAAAGGAGGCAAACTCTTTTATTCTTTAGACACTGGAAAATACTTTGCACCTGGGCACTGGCTGCTTAATGAAGATTAAGGCTTTTAAAAATAGGAAACCTTTTTGAAGATTACAAAGTGAAGGGCATTTAAGTATTTTTTGGATATAACTGCCACAGCAACTACCAAAATTAATTTAAGATACATAACAAGATTACCTCTAATTTTACCATTACTTGTGATTTATTACCCATTAAGAACCCTGGAAAAGCCAATGATAAACAATTCCTGAAATGATAAATCATTCAAAATAGGGAAGAATCCTAAAATTTGATTAGACTTTAATATATCATGGCAAGATATAGGCACAAGCTAAATATGTAACTAGTGAAATCCTTAAAAAGAATTTTTATTTTCCTCTAAATAGAAGACTTGGAAGAAAACCAAGGTATTTCCTAAGTGTAGTAAATACTGGAGGCTTGTCCCAAGGGAAGTCTTTTTCCAATCTCTTGCTGCAATGATTATAACACTAAATCGAGCGAGGAATATTAATGCTTGTCATTTATATGTCACTAAGTTTGCTTTCTTTTAGGAGGAAAACTTGGTTAAGTTCTGCCACATCAAGACTCTTGGACAGCTAGCTGCCGCGGCATTACGCTTATTAATTACTGATGGACTCCATGGAGTTAATCAGCCTTTAGGCACATGTTCTGGGGATCTAACAGATGGTATGAAAATTCACTGCATTTTATTTTTGTAATTCTAATATACAAACACACTGATAATAACAGTTCTTAGAGAAAGAGCCAGAAATAGGCTAAGCTTTTCTTTTAAATTTCTGGCATTTTGTTAATTGAAATTAGATCTGCGTGTTACTTGAGTGTCAACACAGCCCTGTTCCTGTGCAGGCAGAAGGCAGCAAGTGAGGTGGTGGCAGTGGGGGTAATAGTGCCCACTAGTGGCGGGGGGGGGGGGGCTGCCATGCTGCCCCGCTTGGCTACATTTTCTAAGTGGGGGGCTGAGCCACCCTGGTGGGAGCACTCACCGGGGTGTTGGACTGCTCCGTCAGCTTTTGCTCCCACATCCTCAGACGTCTTTCCCTTTCTTTGAGTTCTTGCTCTTTACAGCTGAGGTCCCGTTCGAGTTTCTTCAGCCTCTCGAGAGTTGCCTCGATTTCGCACCTGCACAGGGATGACTGGTTTAAGTCTCAGCTTTGCTCAAGAGTTAGTAAACGCTTAGTGGTTCATCAGAATGCTTAATCACTGTAAAAGGCTAACATTTGCGCTTTTATTTTTCACCAGTTTTATTGAGATCTAATGGACCTACATCACTGTGGAAGTTTAAGGTGTACAGCATACTAACCTGAGTTACACATACTGTGAAATGATGACCACTATAAATTTCGTTAGTATCCATCATCTCATACAGAGAAAGCAAAAAAAAATTTTTTCTTGTGATGAGAATTCTAAGATTGACTCTCTAAACAACTTTCACATATATAATACATTAGACTATAGTCATCGTGCTACACATTACATTCCTTGGACTTACGTATCTTGTAACTAGAAGTTTATGCCTTTTGACCACCTTCCTCCTATATGCCCTCCCCCCCAACCTCTGGTAACCGTCAATCTGATCCTTTTTACCTGTGAGGTTGGGAAAACGTGCTTCTAAACCAAACAGTCAACTATCAAAGAAGAAAATCTGTCATATCCTGTAAAATCAACAGGTAGTTTCTAGTTTGGGAAAAGAAGTTCAAAACACTTCTTTAAAATCACCTCTTTAACGAAGCACTGAAGACCCCCTGGGGTAGAGCCTGAGCTACAGAGCTGCATCCTGGGTTAGCTAGTTAGGGAATGCTGACCTTCAGGTAGCCCTTTACAGTTCAGAAAGCACTATTACACAGTATCTCATCTTATTCCTGTAACAGCCCCCAGAAACAGGTACTAATCCCATACAGATGGGGAAATGATATTCAGGTTAGGTGATCCACACCACATCACCAGTAAACTCACGTTCGCTTATTCCCTAGCTGGGTGCCTCAGTCAACTGATTAACTGACCCAGTTTCCTCAGCTCTAGGGGGTGATGATTATCTTACATCAGGGTTCCCCCCTTGCCTGATCCTAATAACTACCTGGGCAGCTTGTTAACAAATATACAACAAAACACAGATTCCCAGGACCCTTCTTTAGGGCTCATGATTCAGTAGGGCTGGGTGGGGCCTAGGAATTTCCATTATTTAATAAAAGACCCAGGTGACTTTTATAATCAGGCAAGTGTGGGCCAGATGAACTCTACGATTCTTTTCAAAGTCTAATCATTTTTTTGGAAGTTCCCTCCTTAGTCTCAATAGGCCAACCAAGCTCACCCCTTGGAATTTGTCCAGTTCTAGGAACCCGTCCTTTGTAGAAAATGAACTGTTGACATTGCTCAACACAAGCTGTCTTCCTTCAAGGCTGTCACAGTGTGTAAGTCTCAGTTACGCTCTGAGAGCTGGAAGTGCCTTCCCTTGGGTTTCTGAAAGGCCTGGAAGCAGCTGATGGCTGGAGGTTAACTACGTGCTGCTTCCGGGTGCCACTGAGCCACACCTGCTGTACCCATGGCATGAGGCTGGCTGGGACCCTGACTATGGAAGGTACTGCCCCAGACCTATGTAACCCAAATCTGCCTTTTAGCTCCAGGGAAAATTAGAATACACGGCCATCTCATTCCAATGCCCTTGTGGATGAGAACGAAATGAAAACAAAAATGCTATGGGCATTAACTGGCAACATCCAAGACAGGGAGCAGCTACTGAGGGGGGTCTGGATCTCGGCCCGGCACTTTGCTTCCCTGGCTGTCTGAAAGGTACACCTTGGCGCCAGGGAGGTAGCAAGTGAGTGTAAAAGCATCTGCTGTCAGCGCTCCAGCCCTTTTCCTGGTGCCATTTGAAAATGATAGAACGATAGAGTCATACTACATACCCTAAAGAAAGGCACTAAGTCAGCAATCTTTCAGAATCATGACTGTCCTAAAATCCAGATTGTATATTTCTGGGTATTTCTGACAAGAGTATTATGCCCCTTCAGAGGTGAGTTTGCGTTTATTTTCCAAATGGAGGACTGAGGGGGAAAAAACCACTGTGGGAAACCTTAGGTGAAACTTGTGTGACGAAGGAAGGACGGACGAGCCACCCTGGGAAACGGAGGGGGTGAGCGGGTGATGGGAGAAGGCTGCACGCTCCGTGGCGGACGGCCGGGGCCTGGGGCTGCGGTTGCGGTGTGCTCAGTGCTTCAGCCCCGCCGCCCACACCCCTGCCAGAGGGACGGAGCGCGCCCAGACCGTTTGGTCGGGGTACACGGCCAGCACATTCGAGTTCCCTCGTAATTTAAGCCACATTTCAGCTCTGGGAGCCGACTGTGATTTTGAGCCCTTCTGGAAAACAGATCAACAGTTAAGTAAGCTGAAAGCTGCGACACAGGGAACCAAACACTGAGTAGAATGTGCTTCCTCAACCCATCTCCTCAGGCTCAGCACTTCCAGCTCTGCTCCCCCAGGCGCCCCGGGTCTGCAGGGAGTGTCGGATGCAACGCAGACCCCAGGGGGGCATCAGGACAGCTGCCCCCCTCGCTGTTCCCTGTGTTGCCCATGCACTGTTTTGCATCAAAGCATCTGTTGATGTGCCTGTATCACCTTCCTGTTCGATAAATAAAAGTGTTTTAAAAAAGTGTTTAGTTGATGAAAATTATGGTTTTTTTCTTAACCCAAATCTAACTAAGGTTGACTTCCCCTAGTATCAATTCTCCATATGCGAAAAACAGAGTGAACTGGAGTTCTCTTTTTAAGGTCAATTTGTAAAAACAGCCATATTATACCTGACGATAAATAGGTAGTATGTATAGTGTATAGTAATGTTATATATTAAATGATTGGTGCTAATATCCAAATTGCAAAGGTTACATTTTTTTATCTGTTTTTTGTTTTTAACAAGGCATGCCACAGCGAGAGTATTCTGATCACCAAGGAGGACTACAACCAGCAAAGTATTCTGACAAGAGGCCCAACTCCGAACACGCCATCCAGCACCACAGAGCTTGCTCAGTGCGGATTACCACGGGTCTGGAGACAGTCACGTGGGGCAATGAAAATTGCAAACATGACCAAGAGGGTGACACATTTCCTGTTCTTAATACTCACTGCTATTATTGCTAATAAGTCAATAAAAGGAGAGACAAGCTGAAGATATGATGAACAAGGAAATGCCTGACAGATTTCTTTCCTATCATCTAATAGGTCAAAAGAAAAAAACATAGTTTATGTGGTTGTTAATAACCTAGTTTTAAAAACAATTTTAAGAACCATCTAATTCTCTAAAACAGGATGTTTCATCGGGTCTATGTGTAAGGAAGCTCTACCAGAAAACAAGCGTTTGCCAGAAACACCAGATTTCCTACACATGCTTTTGGCCCTAGTCACGTGGTTTCAGACACCAGACAAAAGGGAACAGTCTGAATGTGTTGTTCTTAGAAATATCCAGATGATCTGACAAAGCATTTAATTCTTTCTAGTATGTGGCATAGAGTAGGATAGTTGTTTTGTCTTAATCATAACCTAAAGTAATCATGCTCTGTAGTATTTCTCTTTGCGCAAAGGAATCGAGTCAAGTGAACTCCGCGTGCTAGATGAGTGGAAGGCTTGGCACCGGCCATGGGGGTCCAGGAACAGCACCGCATAGACTGTGTGCCCCGGCAGGCCTGTGGGACCAGACCACGTGGGTTCTAGCACTGGCTCTGTCTTACACGGTGTGATCTGGGACAGGTGACCCAACCTGTCCAGGCCTCAGATTTTACATCTGTGAAAGAAGTTAGGATGGTCATGTGGATTAAAACAAGATGATCCAGATAAAGTACAAGCATCTGGTAAGAATATAATGAATGACAGCTGTGTGTATTGTGACTCTAACATCATTACTACCCCCTATGTTTTTAACCAGTTGCCAAGTTCAGTTAAAACAGCTCTACGACTTCTCAGACTAGTTTAGTGGTTCAGGTAAAGATAGGTATTCTCTCACCAGCCCTCAGGATTAATTAGCTCCTGAAGGACAGCCAAGGAAGAAGCCAGCTAGGCAACTGCTTGCTTTTTACTAAAAATACATTAATGTACTACCAATGTTATTTTCCTCATCTTTTCATTGTGAAGCATTTAAAAAATGTATTATTCAACTATCCAGGTTTGCAGGACATAAAGATCTCCAAAGAGAAACCACTCTCTCATAATTTCATTATCCAATGGTAATACTGGCCTTTTGATACTTTTCTCTATGTGCACACAGCATATACACATAAATATGTCTATTTTACAAAAAACCGGAATCATTCCAGTCATACTGGACCCTAGTGCCTCTATTTTTAAATCATCTGTCAGATCTGTTATATCATGAATGGCTCCATCTATTCTGTATATGGAGATATTATCAGTTTTTAAAACCATAAAAACCACAAAAACCCCAAAATCTTTTTATTGTACTTTATGCCATTCTAGTTTGCAATTCTAAACGACGCTGTGCTAATAAGCAGGTGTCCATACATTCTTGCACAACCTTTCCATTTATTTTCTTAGAGATAAAATGGTAGTGTTGGAGGGGTCTGAAAGGTAGTATTTTCACCAGCAACATACTAGAAAGTTTATAATGCTGGATATTTTCATAATGTAAAACTTTGCCAATCTGGTAAATGAATTATGTTCCCTTATAGTTACCTGATTGGTAAGTGAGGTTAACTATTTTTCATATATTTATTGGCCATTTGATTTCCCCTTTTGTGAAATGCCTTTCATGTCCTTTAGAATGGGACTATAATTAAAGTATTATTTTAGACAGTAACTTTGTCTACTACAGCGGTTTTCAAAGTGTGATCTGGGGACCCATGAGAGGTTTTCAAACGATTCAAGAGGTTAAACTGTTTTCAGAATAACATTAAGACATGATTTGCCTTTTCAACTCTCATTCTCTCACGAGCGTACAGACTGTTTCCAGAGGCTTCATGAGAGGTGGCAAAGCCACAGGCTGAATGTAGAGGCAGGATTTATTGTTTCTTAAATGAATCAATAACTACATATTTACATTTTTTTCTCCATTCTCATTTTGAGTGTGGTAAATATTGACAGATGTAACTCACTGAAACAAAATCTCTTTGTAGTCCTCAATAATTTTTTAGAGTATAATGGAGTCCTGAGACCAAAAACTTTGAGATGTGCTGAGCTATTATATGGGGGGAAATGGTTGTCGAGCAGATGGCCTTTGCGTTGGAAGTTCGTGACGGCTATTGCTTTTGGCCATAGGGAGCTTTTACATTTTTATATCGAAAACTTACCAACTCCCTCCCTATATTCTGATATACAGTATCTGAGATACTACATCTCAAGGGTATCAGTAGTAATGTTAAAATCCCACTGATCTTTTGGAGAACAGATCAAACAGCTTCTCCCCAGGAAATCCTCTTATTACCTTGTCAGACTAGATTAGATTTCATAGTTGTATAGTCTCACATGTCCAGTACTTCTCTGTCATCATACTTATCAAGAGTCCTAAAACGTTACTTGTATATTTATATTTAGCAGTTTGACATGAGACACCCCAGTCCATGTGCACTGGGGCCCTTCTGCTCACCGCCACAGCACCGGACAGGAGCACCTTGCCGCGGCAGAGATTCAGGCACTATCTGAATGAACGAATGTCAGAGGCACACTTGTCATAGTCAGCAAAGTAGCTTACATATTTATTTTCCCTTGTGTAATACCGTAATGTCTTTTAATATTACTACCACCGTGGTGTTTCCTTCCTCTAGTATTTATGGAGCCACTGCTGTGTTCAAGGCACATTCTAGATGCTGCAGTTATAGTAATGAACAAAAGAAATTATCTGACCCGTTTACATTTCGGCCAGCGAGACACAGATTAAACAACAGACTACAGAACTAACTTATTCATTCCAACAGCAGTCGTGGCTATGAAGGAGGTGCTCTCAGGGCACATAAAGTGGAACCTCATCTATCTAGGGTCAGAAACATTTCCCTAAAGACATGTTATTTCAGTTGCTCTCTGTGACGAATAGGAGCCAAGCTGGATGTGGGTGTCAGGGGTGGTACGCCGCTGAAAGGGATGAATTTTATACAGAAGAAACTGCATTTGCAAGGACTCTGCATGAGGAAGAAATACGCATCTGTTGAGGGACCAGAAGCCAGAAATTAAGAGGCAGAACTATGCTCCTGAGGTAAGACTGCTGAGGTCAAAGCACAAAGGGTCTCATGAGTCTTGTGAAGCATTGGCCTTTGTACTAGAGTAATCCCCTACGTGGATTTAAAAGCGGGGTCATCTGATTAGATTTCCACTGATCTTGTAGGCAACATTATTACTTGTTTTGTTAATTATTTAAGTCCAGAACAAAACCCGTCATACCTACACTCAAGCAGACAGTATGACTTTTGTTTCCCTAAATAAAAATCCATTTAACTCACTGGCCCTGGATAGAGTTCAAAGGAATAAAAATAAATAAGGTTATTGTAAAACACAATCAAACAGAAAGCCCAAGGAAATGTCTAATCACAGGAGTTAACAACGCCATCGTTTTCAGAGTACATGCAGTATTCCCTGGGCATCAGCAGGTGGCGTAAGGCATCGCACTACCACGGAGGCTCTCAAGAGCGGAGAGAAGTTACTTAAATCTCTGCTGCGTCAGGGAGGAATAATGTCAGCTCCCAAACATGCTATTTATATTCCTGCAGCACGTGACCCGGCTCAACTGTCTCATCCCAGGCTTGCTTCTTCCACTCACACAATACAATTCTCTCATTACTAAGTTTGTTTTACACTTGACAAAATTTAATAGGATTTATAACATCAAAAGTTTTCTTTTAAGTGTTTTTATAGTCTCCCTACCCCCTCCATCAACAGATACAGTACTCTGCAAATCCCTAGGCAAACAGTATTTTTATTTCTCACTGGACAGATGCCAAGGCTTCCTAACACAGCGTGTAATACAGAGAAATGTCTGGTAACTATCTTTTGTCTCAGAAGATGTGATTTCAATATTCTTTCCAAATACTTAGATATATGATAAGGCAACAAGCTTAGAGGATTGCTTTTTTGTTTACATATGAAAAGGAGGACTTATTAGATGTCCAAAAAAATTTAACATAAACAACAAACAAAACTCTAAGTTATGCTTAGAAGTCAGGACTGTCCTCAAGTTCACTGGTGCTCTTCTTCAGTGAAGCTGGTCATGGTCTTTCAAAGCGAGAGGTCATGACTTGGTACAAGGCTTACTTACCTCCACTCTGCCTTGTTGTGCAGGAATGAGTTACACTGGTCGGGAAGGTTAGTGTCGTTTGACATGGACTCCAGAATTGAAATGATTTGCTTAAAAGATGGCCGTTTCTGAGGAAGAGAAAATAATCACTTGCTGGGACTTAAGAAAGCAAGTCTTGAAGAGAAAATCCACAAGCACAGCAATAAGCTCGACACACCACAACAAAATAAAATGGCCCACAATGTCCTGAGTTCTCTTACAACTGTCAGACTGCTCAGGTTGAAGGGGACCATATTCCTTACTTTCAATAACTTATAAGAACAGAGTCAGATGTCATTATTCTATCTTGTGGCCTAAGGTTGGAATGACAGCTTTTCTCCAGGTAAGGAAAGTACGAATTCTCTCTTGGGTCTGATTAAGGACTCCTAAAAGGGAAAAGGCAAGTCCTTTAAAAACCTATGGGATAGAGCACATTTAGGAAAAGTTAACGGTAGATTCTGCGTGGTAGGGGTCCTGGTGTTCACCATTAAGATTCTTTCACCCTTTCTGCAGGTTTCAAATTCTTATAATAAAATGTTGGGGAAAACCCTAGCTAATCTATGAGAACTAATACAATTTCCTCAACCACTTGCTCAGAGAAAAATTCCCCAATTTTCAAGCCATCTTAACTTCATTGTTCCCAATGTTTATTCCACATCATAACCCATTTGGAGCCGTGAAACTCTAAGGTACTGTTTACTAGAAATGATAAAGCAGCGGTTAGCTGCATTTCTTCAGCCAGCAGTAACTGTACTTGTCTGTCTCTTTAGACTCTAGCCAAAGCTGAGACAAAAGGTTAAAACAAAAATGGAAGAAAGATAATAAAAGGATGATGCACATTCTCTCTTCATCATGCCTCATAATTATACCATTTCTGAGCAAATTACAGTTGCAGCAATTAAAACATGCATTTTAATTTAGGAGCACAAAACAAGAAGGAACAATGTTGAGGTGGCTTGCTCTCAGGACTTGAGTGCTTCCTACATTAAGAGGGATGATTTTTCCATTTCTCAGGAATATAAATATAAAACTGGGATATTTATTCTGAGTTCTGCCTTCATTGCACTCTTAAGGGAATGTGTGCCTGTGTGTGTTTTAAGTAGAGGGCGTAAGTATCTGATCCACATTAAAGCGTTCTAATAAAAGAAGTAAATGCCTGAAGTAGGAAATTTGAAAAATACTGTCTTCTTTTAACTTTATTCCCATTTAATTCCTCCTACTGTGTGTCACTGTGTGAAAGGAAAAATGTTTGAGCTGTTTGCACAGGAATTATATAATAAATATAGAATTTTCATTTTGCATGGAAAAGCAGGAGAGGCTAATGAATTTTTAAAGAATATTTTTCCCTACATTTAATCATTCTTGAAATAAAGTAAAACTCTTGAAATTAGGTGACAAGTATCCCTAGAAAAACGTTAATTTTATAGGTAGAATATACTCTCAGATGGAAATTTCAAAGTTAACATTTTAAAAACAACAATGTAGAATTTTGTGGTAATTATAGCTAGGATCACCTATTAAGCATCTATATACATTATTTGTTAACTTCATTTTTTTTTTTAAGATTTTATTTATTTGACAGAGAGAGAGAGAGCACAGATAGAGTGGCAGGCAGAGGGAGACGGAGAAGCAGGCTCTCCGCTGAGCAGGGAGCCCAATGCGGGGCTAGATCCCAAGGGCCCTGGGATCATGACCTGAGCTGAAGGCAGACGCTTAACCGACTGAGCCACTCAGGCGCCCCTTGTTATCTTCATTTTATAGATAAGAAAAATCCATCTCAGAAAAGTATGGATTGCCCAGTATCACACATGAAGCAAGTTTCTGAATCAGGGGCAAGGCTCTTAAACCCTCCAATGTGTTTTATCACATGAGGGTAAGATGTTACTTCCTATCAAACTCAGGGCTTTTTTGCCTTTTTTTTTTTTTTCCCTATTTAGAAATGCCATTTTAGAACTGGAAACAATACCCACCTTTACTTCCTTCTTCTCTTCGATACAACACTTTGAGCACCTGGTGTAAGCCACTGGCATGACCTGACATTTACCCAACACCAGCTTTCTCTTGTATTCCCTTCCCCCTCCTCACTGCAAAAGAACATTTTTCTACAGGTGAGCCGAGTATTTTCATCTATGTTTTTAAAGCATTAAGGGCTAGGGAGAAAAAAAGAAACGAAAGTGTTTAGCCAGCAATAGCTCTCTCTGTATGCACAGGAGTGGCATCCACGAGAGCTTGAACTGCCACATACTTACAGCCAGAGAACTAAAATGTGCCTTGGTCTGGCTACTTCAGTCAACACACTGGGCCTCTACTTACTATGCATGTGTGAGGTGCTAAGAGCAGCTTCGTTCCCTCAAAGAGGCTGCAATCCATGTAGGAAGAGAGATTTGAAAAATACAACCGCACAGGGTAAGGCAGTAGCCCGGACTCTGGTTTAGGAAAAGGAGGACAAAGTATGGGCTGGGGTAAATAGAACAGCTAGGGAAGGCGGGCCAGCAAAGACCTCAGGGAGGAAAGAAAAGAAGAGGGCATGCCTAGGGAAGGAAGGTGTGTAAGGCCTGACTGGAGATCAGCCACAGAGAGCACTGGAAATGTGGGGTGTATACTTAAATACAGGGGGGCTGTATTAATTGTATCAGAATAAAATACCTTGAATTTCGGAAGTAAAAATCAATCTTAAACTTTCTTTATACTTCACCTGGCTAGAACACAAGATGCCACTCGTCCTAAAGAAGGATAAACTTGCTGCATGTTAAAGACATGCCAGCTTCATAGCATCAACAGCAGGCCTAATGTCCTTTCTGTGTTAGGTGTTTACACTATTATTTAATTAATGCACCATAAATGTATATTCTTAGAATTTTAATTAATGAAGTACAGTTTCCGATTAAGAAATTCAAAACCTGCTTTGCATACTGAAATATAATTGCAATTACAGAGAATCTAGTTGCATTAATCTAATTCAATGCAAATAATTTCAGGTGAAATTTTTATTTAAGTAGCAGAAAAATACTGCCAAAATGACTATATATGCCACAATGGACACAACTGGTAGGAAGAGTATGGAGAAGGTAGTACGATAGCATTTTAAAAATACAAATGTTCTAGAGCAAGCCTGTAAATGGCTGAGTATATTTTCTGCTGGATTAGCTATAAAGTGCAGGCATTTCTCTTAAAGCTTAAAAACCCCATATTCTGCAAATCACACACTAAAATAATAGGACCTAGGGGCGCCTGGGTGGCTCAGTCGTTAAGCGTCTGCCTTCGGCTCAAGTCATGATCCCAGGGTCCTGGGATCGAGCCCCGCATCGGGCTCCCTGCTCGGCGGGAAGCCTGCTTCTCCCTCTCCCACTCCCCCTGCTGGTGTTCCCTCTCTCGCTGTTGTCCCTCTGTCAAATAAATAAAATCTTTTAAAAATAAATAAAAATAATAGGACCTAAACAGAGGCAGGGCAGACCATGCCATACCTATGCAACTTTGTCATGGATGCTAATAAAAAGTGATACTAAATAAAAACACTAACAGAATTTAAAAATGTTAAATTCTTTAATAACAAACAATACTAAGTAAATATAAGACTCCCCTTTTAAAAAAAAAGGGTGAAGGTAGTTTGATGAACAGGGGTGAAAGCAAAGATTAAGGCTGCTGGTTCTCAGGTCAAAGGTGACATGTGCAAATCCGGGAAGCCCCCACAACAATCTCCTCGGAGACAAGGCACCGGCCGGGCCGGGCCAGCCAGCAGGGCGCACACGGGGCAGAGGCCTCGCAGATCCGCGCGCCCGGCTGCTCTATCGGCTGCGCTACCGTACAGACCACTGCACTTGGCGTTGAGCTGTTCTCACGTGGTGGGGCGGAGCCACGTGCTGCGTCACGTGTGTGATTCGGCGGTGAGGACTCCAACTTAGCGGTTGTGCGTCCTTCCCACTAGAGAAAGATGCTGTGTGTTACCCGCATGCATTCTCCTGGGGGCCCGATTGGAACGGGGTTTAAATTAAGGAAGAAATTCCATTCCTGTCTTTGTTTTTAGATCTCTATTTAAAAAGTCAGTTTGCAATATATCTATTTCCATGAAAGAGTGGACAAATCTGAACGATAGAATTACAGTTCCTTTCTTGGGTCTGTCTCTTCTTTGTGTTTAATCTGTGAGGGTCTTTTTTTACTTTCTAACTTTCTATTATGAAAAATTTCAAACAAACAAATGTAGAGAGAACAATGTAATGAACCTCCATATAGGTGAGTGTTTCGGGCGGCAAACGGGGCACTAATCGGGGTAACCCATGATTGGGTGGCGGCCGCGTGCTCCCCTGCGCCCCCCGGTGGCCATGCCTCCCAAAATCGAGGAAATCAAGGACTTTGTGCTCACGGCCAGGCGAAAGGACGCCAAATCCGTCAAGATTAAGAAAAATAAGGATAACGTGAAGTTTAAAGCTCGGTGCAGCAGACACCTTTACACCTTGGTCATCACGGACAAGGAGAAGGCAGAGCAACTGAAGCAGTCCCTGCTCCCAGGTTTGGCAGTGAAAGAGCTGAAGTGAACCCAGCCCACTGATTTGAACTGTATTCAAGTTTTAAAAATTCTTAGGAAAAAAAAAAATGAACCTCCATATACTTATCACTTGGCTTCAAAAATTATCATGGCCAATCTTGTTTAATCTACACCACCATCTATGTCCTTTCATTTTATTTTGGAGTAAATCCAAGATTCGCCTGTCATTTTATCCATAAATATTTCCGTATGTATGTAAGAGTCTTTTAAAACGATCTTTGCAGGGAAAGGAAATGGGCCTTCATGCTCAGATGTGCTACCCACAGGAAAGTCCACATTTTGGAATGTCTCCAACTCTGTTGTGATGGCTTCAAAACAGCATGAATCCGAACAAGGAGTATGTACCGAGTTTCTCCAGAAGGGCTACCCTGGGGGCGCCTGGGTGGCTCAGGCGTTAAGCGTCTGCCTTCGGCTCGGGTCATGATCCCAGGATCCTGGGATCGAGCCCCGCATCGGGCTCCCTGCTCTGCGGGAAGCCTGCTTCTCCCTCTCCCACTCCCCCTGCCTGTGTTCCCTCTCTCGCTGTGTCTCTGTCAAATAAATAAATAAAATCTTAAAAAAAAAAAACAAAACAAAACAAATAGAAGTGCTACTCTGGCCTGGTCTTTGGTTCAGACCACTTGGGCTCATTCTCCAGTCTCAGCATGTACTAGCTGTGGCCTTGAGCATTACTTAACTTCTGCATGCCTTGATTCTTCATCTGGAAAATGGGTGGAATAACACAACTTGTATCATAGAGCTATTCTGAGGAACAAATGAGCTAATGTACATAAAGTGCTTGGAATAGTGCCTGGCACAGAATAAGCACTGTGTGCTGGCCATTTTAGAACACGAAGGTGCAACAGTTCTTATTAAAGATTAAAAACAAAGGAATGCAATTCTTTGTTGAATCAAGAGTGCCAGAGAGGCTGTAAGAAAGAGCCAGTAATGAATTTCTAAGGATCAAGATAAGCAGATAACAACAGAAAGCCTTAACAGTCCATCTGGGGCTCACAGGAACAGCAATCTAGCTTTACTTTGTAATGACGCTCATTACCCTAAGTTTTAACTCAAAGCCAAACAAACAAGTGAAATTTCAGAATTCTGAATGACGACCAAAAAAAAAAAAAACCTGACTTAACATACCTTGGCATCAGCTTCCCAACACTGACGTAACAGCTCAGCAAAACTTCTGGGGCAGCTGCTTGGAATGGTTAATCTCTACCACAGAGAAGGAAAGACAACACAAGGATTTACTCATGAAGGTAAGCAGATCCTCACTGAAAGTTCATAAAAGAGTAACATTTAGAGCACAAACAGGTCATTAAATTTTAAGCTTCCATTGATTGATAGATGGCAGATGAGAATTTATGTTTAGATACATCGTATCTCTAAAGAGACTTTTAATACTGTTCTTCCAAAAAGGCATCCCAGTGGATGGAGAAGTCGGGTTCCGCACAACAAATACAATGAAACATAGACTCAAGTCTGAAGGAAACTACAGTAGGAGAAGGGCAAGGCCTAAAACCACCAATCTTTGCGCAGGCGGTTATGAAATAGGCACACAGCCCAGGCAGCTAGGAAAGCAGCTGGCGGTAGGCGTGACACCTCTGGAAACGTGTTTAGCACAGACCGTCCCAGAGATCATTTGAAAGAAGTGTGCCTCTTCTCATTGGCCAATAAGAGATTCTGGACATATGACTCATTATGGCTAAAGCACAAGGGCTGGATACGACAAAGATTACACTGTGAGCATCTGTCCTGTTCCAACATTTTACAGAAGTGCTTCTCTAGAACTTGCCATGCCCCTGGAGGCTCTTTAGATATCTATGGAGGCATTTTTGTTTTAAAGACTGGAGAGTTGCACCTGGAGCGGGTCAAGAATGCTGGACATCCTTCACTATGTTGGTAAATCTCTAAGTACTCCCTTGCACTCCACCAAACTTCAGATGCCCCCTGTGCAATCAAACAACGAGGTTTAATCATTTTTCTGGCTCTAGACTCTCTTTGATTTACAATAAACACAAAGTATATTTTGAGCAGATTTAAAATGCAATGAACTAAGAATGCAACTACCAAATAAAATAAATCAAGGGCAGATTGATCTTTGCATTATTCATAACCTTACCAAGATTTTTAGAAAATGTCACCTACAACAGCATTGCTCATGCTGCTGGAATCATTGATACAATTCAACTCCATTCTGCATTTGTAGCTGTTGAATCCTATTTATCCATAGGTACAAGCTCTGAAACTATTCCATTTTCTCCTCTCCTGCGGTTGTGCCTGCGCATTTATACACCGTAATACGTATTTATTTCTTCTGTGTACTACGACGAGAGCATTATGTTGACTTTAAAGTACAATGTGTGTGGGTAGGTTGTACTACATCTGAATTTCACTTCCAGCAAGTAGAGGGAGCATGAAAAGAGTTGTTATCAAGAGAGGCCTGGGTATGACGGTTGAGAACCACCGCACTAAGAAGTACTAAGAAGATTTATTATGCAGTATTGTTTACCAAAGAAGTTTTGCAAATAAAAAACTGAAACTGAACTTAGTTGGATTTGGGGGAGGCTACGCATAAAACTAGAAAAAGAGTTGCCCTGGCAAGAAAACAGATGGGGATCTGTATTTAGAATTACAGATAACCTTAAAATAAAAATAAACTAAAATATATAAAACCTGAAAGCTTTAAACAAAACAGCCCTCGCCAAATTAAAGGCTATGCTAAACATTTTTTTAACTGATTACATAGAAGAGAGGAGATCTGGTAAGCTGTACTCTTATTTTACTGTAATGTGAACTGGAAACCTTTTGATGAAGATCAAAAGGAAAATCAGGTGTTTATTTTTTAAAAATATTTGGCAACTAAGAGAAACAAAGTGATTGCGATTACTCAGCTAAATGCACCCCATGGAAATTTCTCATAAAAGGGAACATTTTCAATATAACTTTTTCACATTTTTCTAAGAACTGAAATGTGACCTGGATGAATATGGATGGATGTTAATCTTTTCTATCATCTTTTCTTACTGAGAAACTTCTTAGCTACTGCATCTGAGACATTATGAAAGAAGACATAATTATTTTAGATCATCTCATATGGTCAGATATCAGTTAAATCTAGACTCAGACACTAATGTAAGGGTTTATTTTGGTTTATTAAAAAGTACTTTAAAAGAAAATCGAAGTATTTAAGTCCTGTTTACAGAACTGTGGGCATTCTTAATGCATTAAAACATCCCGAAATAACCAGATATTAGCAACAGATTTAGCCGTACTACTTCAAACTTAAATATTTTAAAAGTTCCAAAATTAAAATGAAAATATTTCCCAACCACTAAATTAGGCATGACATTTTTTAAAAAGCATATTCTTTTTCTGCACCATTTTCTACATAAGATGCAAAAAATTACTTTTTGTCAGTTATTTTTTATTATCTTTTTTCCAAAATGTAGTCAACAATGGATTGAGGATTTCTGTTAATAGTTTGGGGCGCCTATTAAGAATACTTTGGTTAAGTGACTGACAATGCCCAGGTCATGATCTCAGGGCCGAGAGAGGGAGCCTGCTTAGGATTCTCTCTCTCCCTCCGTCCCTCCCCCTGCTCCCGTATATGTGTGCCTGTGCGCGCTCTCTAAAAGAAAAAAATTGTTTTGCTACTTAGAACAAAACATATTTTATGAGAATCTAAGTATTTGTAAAGATAGAAATTATACTGTCAGAATATTTTGAATGACCACTAATTCAGTTTTATAGAAATTACGAAGACAAACATACATGTCTATAAAAATTACAAAATTTATTAGTAATACCCTCCTAAAGGGTTCAGTCTTTAACAGTGCTTTATGTATCTAGTTTTAATGGGATTTACTATTAGGAAAAATTATATTAAGCATTTAGAAGCAAACACCTTCAGATATTTTTAGACCGTATTGATCTTCCTATAGATCCAAAAAGCAATCTAAATGGTGAAACTGAATAAGGTCGAGAGTCTGGTTAAGAGTAATGTATCAATGTCAACTTTCTGGTTTTGGTATTGGCCTATACCTGTTTCTCACCAGTGGGGGTAGCTGGATGAAGGTACACAGAATCCCTCCTAATATTTTTGCAAATTCCTGTTAGTCTATAATTATTTCAAAATAAAAAGTTAGAAAGAAAAGGTAACTCTAATATTTGGATATAGGTGCATTCTAGGGTGACTGGCTTACATTTAAAATGTATCCCTAGGTTTAAACACATCATTCTTTATTTAAATGAGGCCTGTTAAAAAAAAAAACAAACAAAACAGCTTGCTCTTTTCAACTCAAGAATCCAAGGTATTCCAAAGTAAAAATAAATGAAATAATTGGAAGTTGAAAGGATTTTGTAAATTATTTTTAAGTCAGAGTCTCAATTTTTCTATGAAATAAATCCTTGGCCATTTTTTCCAAGTTTTCATTTAAATTCCAGTTAGTTAATATACAGTATATTAGTTTCAAGTGTACAATATAGTGATTCAACACTTACATACAACACCCAGTGCTCATCAGAACAAGTGCCCTCCCTAGTCCTCATCATCCCTTTAGCCCATCCCCCGCCCACCTCCCCTCTAGCAACCCCTTCAGTTTGTTCTATATAGTTGAGACTTGGCAATTCTTTTAATGTTATGTCAACAGAATTTGTTTTGGTAATACGTGTCTACATTTATGAGATGAAATGAAGACTCCTTTGTGAATGATGACAATGGAAAGTACAGTTAAACTTAAATTCCATATTTTTGACAAATATTGTGCAGAGTGAGAGTAGACAGGTAAGTAGCCTTCAATACCCAATTTTCCTTAAGTTCAGTAGAAAGTTGAGAAAACTTGTTTCACCATGTGGGGTTCCTTGAACTTACTATTCTGCGTACAGAAGGGGAGGTACCTGAGTGGTCTCCATCGGTTATTAGGCGACTATCAATCAGGTCACACCACGGAAAAAACAGTACGTTCTACTCCAGGGAATCCCTGAGGAAAAGGGCGGGGGGGGGGGTTTACAGCCTCCTCCTGTACATGTTGAGGAAGTTCTCAAGGTTATTTATGGGTGATTCCAGCCCCCAAGCCAGCTATCCAAAGGCAGCTTCTAAATTCATTTTTCTTGTCTGCTTTAATCATCCTTGATGGATACTCATGTTTTGAAAGTGCTTTAGAAGCGCACCTCTTCTGCCATCCTTTAGATGAAATATTATTTTAAAATATTGTTTTTTCTTATACGTATTTGGAGGGTCCAGTCAGCTTTTAAAACACTTTCTTCTAATTTTTCTTAGAACAATGTAGAGGGGAAAAAGTTACATTGAGTGTTCCACTCCAAAGTCAACATTAGGTCAATTGTTTTCTTCACTCCCATTTGTAAACCCAGAACCAAACATCTAATCACCTCACTGGCAAGAGAAATAGAACAGAGACAAGCGGGTTCTCCTATCATGAAAATATCAGTTATCCTGTGTACGAGGGTCTGATTTAATAGCACACCGGGAATAAGCAGGACACTTAATTAAAACAGAACAGCTCCTGTGAAACACTGAGCAAGACACATTCTTGAATATAACTCCTTTTGCTTTTTCTTAAATTGGCAGCTCTCTCCCATCAAGTTCAGCTATCATGAACATTTCATCTGTTCTCAATAGCTCAGGAGGACAAATTAATAAGGTAGCGGGATTATGTGATCTAAACTACGGAAACTTGGTTTCTCTTAGTCAATAGCAGCTGTTTGGTTAATCTAGTCTGTTCCTGCACTCACATGGGGAGCAGATCAATCTCATTCTTTCATAGCCTTAAAAAGGGCCTATCTCCACGTATTCACCTTTTTGCAAATTATTTTATCCTCAGGTCGCACTCTTACCTTCTGCAGAGCGCACAGATCAGATCTGGAAAGGAAGCTCTGTGAAGTAAGGTTGTTTTGCATTGCAAAGACAACTGCGTGCTTCCATTACCGGATCTAAGTTCTCATAGTACCTTGATACTGGATGCTTCATCCTTATGCTGAGGATTTCCATGCCTGTGCATTTCAGTCACAATTTTAAGCCTTTCAAAATGTAGTTGCTCTCTTTGATATGAATGTACCACGTTCTCTGATGTAGGCTCATAGGTCCAACTAACTGAAAGCCTCAATTTGTGGGAAGAAGAAAAGCGAGGCTGGGGACACAGCACAAACGGTGTTTACGCCACTGAAGTTCTTTTGAAATGGAAAGGCTCTGCATGAAGACGGGAACAGTTACGCCACTGCCTCGCCAATTCCAGTGAGGAGCTCATCTTCAATGTAGTGTTCAACGTAGGTGGCAAAACTGTAATTTTTCCCTTTTTTGAAACTATTTTTTCTTCTTTTATTTTTGAAATTCTCATCTAAGCGACAGTTTCTTGTACTATAGTGACTCCTGCTGGGAGAGGTAAGTTGAAGTAGCTGAAGGTCTCTTACAGATATATCAACTCCCGGCCAGTAAAAAAGATGTCCTAAACGCAGGAGATGGAGTTAAACTGTTCCCCTACCTTGGACGCAATGGCTTCTTTCATCACTAAGAACAAACCCCTAGGTTTTACAATTGAGACTGAGAAACTAGTACAGTACTTGTACAATTTTTGATCTACAGCATCACGACGTGAAGCTGCAACAATTAGATGTAAAGGGTCCATTCATGAGGAATAACATCACTTTGACCCTTTGTGTTAGCTCCTACTGCTAATCTTTCCATAAGCGTGAACTTACTTTCAATTTGAAGAAGATGAAAAAGTCTTTTGCAAAACCCCAATACTGTTTTCTGATCTATGTACCTGAATGGAGAATCGTAGTCTTACCTCGTTTTTTTCCACTACAAGCCAAGCTACTTGTAATCCTTCCAAACCTTTAAAGGGGACCTCCCTTGTTAGCATCTCCCAGAGAACCTGGAACAAAAAGAAAATGGAATTTTTATTCTTGTACTTTATATTTTTGGTATATTACTGAAACTTTATCTAACACTTAACTGTATCCAATTACCAGACAAAACCAACCCCACCTGTAGAAACTTGGAAAAAACATATATATTCATGCCTAGGACTTCTCCCAAATATTATATATATATATATACACATACACACATATTATATATATATATATATATACACATTATATATATACACACACACACAGACACACAGACATACATTCATTTTTTGTTCATTTTTATAAAGAAAAAAAACTAGTTTAGAAATCAGAACATTTAGAGCCAGACTTATGAAACCAATGGGCCTACATAATTTATCTTGTAAGTTGCTAGAATTCTCACAGATTCCCACAAATTAGGTTTTATATTTTGTTAGTCAAACTCTTTCTACCTTCAATCACCAATAAATTTCTCTATAAGATAGTAACTGGGAATTCGACCGTATTTTTAAAGGATCAGTAATGGTCTGATAAAAAATATTGAGCCCTAAATCCAAATCACTGGCTAAACCATTCACCCCATAATGGTAGGTACTCGCAGAACTGTAACATTTAAATTTTGTGTTTTGGAGGAAGCTCTCTCAAAATGAGTTGGTCTAAGGGAGTCATTTTCTTCCACCTATAACATAATTTACTATCTGTTCTAAAATATAATAAACACTTTATGTTCATATATATAGGCTAGGTGTGTGTGTGTGGGGGGGGAATGTATGTGTGTGTTCATCTCTCTGCAATCCTTGAGATCAGCACGATTAATAAATCTGCACTGGTATGCCCAAAGAAAGCAAACTGATGCTAGGAATGCTGAAAACAGCCAATGATTTGAGTTTCATTTAAAATACTAAGTAATGGAGATTTTTACATTCAGTTAACTTTCTCGATTTATACAGATGGGCATCAAAATCTGAGTCTACCAATATTTTGTGAAGTGCAAAACAATTATAATTTTATCAATATTCATAACAACGACTATCATTTACTGAGTGATTATGTTCCAGATACTTTGTTAAACTCTTTACAGGTGTTGTCATGGTTAATATCAATCCCAGCGAATAGAAGTGATCCTCATTTTATAGATGAGGAAACTAAGGCTTCAGAAAGTCAAATAAACTTGCCCACAGCCACTCTGTTATCAAGTGGCAGAGCAAGAATATGAACTTGCTGCCTCACCCTAATGGTCAAGCTCTTCACCTGACATAAGTCTAGAGTAGGGAGGCTGCAGTGAGAGAGAATGTGACGTGCCATATTTCAGGTGTGGAGCCATGGCAGAGGTGACAAGCAAATGAATTCAGCAGTTTTGATTTAGATTGCTCTTGTTCTAAAAACAAAAAACCCATTTCTAAATAAGAATGTAGACTGAGAACATGTACTCTATTCAAGCAGGTCCTACAAACCTTTAACTCTGTATCCACTGTTTCCTCAGCCAGTGCTCAGTCATATTCGAATCAGAACATGCTAAATGAACTCTGGCTAATTAGCAGGAAAATCAGGGAAATTGGCAGATGCTGCTCAAGCAGGAGAAAAAAAATTCACTGAAGCCTCTTTGGGCTTTTAATCAAGTGTGTAAGGTACTTCTTTAGAAGAGCTACTGAATAATTCTATTTGAATCCCAGAAGTGATTAGGAAAAGGTAAGGGGCATCCCAGAAGGGGATGATTCTAGCAAGCACTGTAAGCAAAGGCAGCGTGAGGACCAGACCACGTATGCAATCACCCCTGAGACCCTGCCCGCACAGGGGAGAGGGATGGAGCAGCGAGAGGGCTGAGCAGGAAATGAAGCCCCTCCATTGCACGCCCTTACCACTCCCCTGGTGCTGAGGCTGGGGAGGCAGAGGGATATGCAGAGCAAGCAAACTGAGGAATTTGGCCTTCCTAAGGAGAAAGGGAACAGTGACTCAGCCTCAAATAAATCAAATGCTCCAGACCCCAAAACGTCCAGGGAGGTGGCCTCCAGCCCCCCGCCCCTGCTTTCTGACCCTGGGCTGCACGCACAACCCACTGCGCAGGCGCACACACAAAGGCTGACTGGGTTTTACGAGGTAAAATGCAAAACCAAGAGCTTGGGAAGTGACAGACAAAAAGATTTATGCCATTCTTTATTCCCAAATATTCAGTTGGAAAATAGCCCAAATCTACTAAGGTCTGAGTCCTGTTTCCCTGGAAAAATAAGAGTTTCGTTTTCATCCGCGTGCGGGTTGCGGGCGAGCCGCCACAGCCGAGGGGCCCCGTGCGGGCGGCGCACGTGCGGGGCGCGGGGTGCGGGGTGCGGGCGCGGCCCAGGCGCCGCCGGGGCCACGTGAAGTCCCCGCGTAAGCCCAGCGCCAGCGCGCGCCGAGTCCCTGTGACCGATCCCCCAGGTGCAGGAGTGTGGCAGAAAGCAGGCGCCACGAGACAGGACAACAGCGGTTTCTGCACTAAACAATGGCACTCGGCACAACACAGTCCTTTGTGGAGGAAGTCATGTGAAGGTCTAAAAATATATTAAACTAGGCCTGAAAACATCAGTGACGGGAATGCAGGCCAAACATTATTGTGATCTTTCCCCTTAAAAATACTTTCCAGCTCATTCTATCTTGAGACGTATTTACGTCTGAACTGTGCTCACAAGGAAAAATTTCTATTTTCAGTTTGCAGAGAAACTTGGACAAGGCTGTGTACTTTTCCTGCCCTTTCTTTGACAAACAATGGCAAGCCATTACCTGAGCCCGGATTGTTCTGGAACAGGGCTCACACACAAGCCACACACAGATGCTCACTCCTAAGCCCCTCTCTTCAAATTGTGGTTCTGGCTCAGAAGCTTCTGGGAAGGTAATCCTTTCTGCATTGTCTTTAGGACAGCTTTGTTTTTGAAGAGTGGCTAGGCCTTGTGTTCTCAGAAGGCTTGTTCTGTCAATGATTTTTGCTTTCCTTGAGTCTTTTCTTTTTTGTGGATAACATACTAAACACTCCTCTGGTTGCGTCCTTCAAGAGAGATCACTGTAAAGGGGTAGCACAATCTCCTCTCTTGTAAAATGGAGAGAGAAACAACTGCCTGCCCAGCAAAGTTTATCAGCTTAGAAGCAAGGATCACAAGATCCACTTCTGGCATTCACAGCACATTTATTTTAAGGCTGGCTAAGGCTGGTTGGTCTTGCCATGAGTTAAGAAGCAACACAGGTTTATCAAGTTGCGGGGGTGAGGGACTTCGATAATACTAGGGGCTACATTTTTACAGCAAGTCTGAAAAATAGAAAAATGAAAAGCAAAAATATATTAGGTGTTTTTTTTTGAGGTGGGTTTCAAAAAAGGACCACTCTTTTTTAGGGTCTTACTCATCTGCGAGAGAGAGAGTGTGTGTGTGTGTGTGTGTGTGTGTGTAGGCACATGAACAGAATGGACCCTTCATGAACTATGGGATGTTTTATGCCAAGAGATACTGTACTGACAAATGGTCCTGGCTACTCACCTATTATTGAAAGGACATTAAAAATTCTAAATAACCACACTGCTTTCCTAGGTGAGTATTATTTTCAGTCTTTGGACAACAAAGTTCTAAAACTAACATGCCCCTACCTTAACAACCATTCTCTCCTGCTCTTTTAGGTAATAACTACTTTGACCATGCAGTGCTTTCTTTATTTTTCAAAAATTTGTGATTGTTTAAACAAAAAGCTCTGGAAAGCATGCCTTGTACTATTTCTTTCACTAAATGGTGTTTATCTAGAACATAATGGGAAGGGGTCAGTATTAAATAAAATCTTGAATTCTCATTTATAATTCAACTGGTTTATGTGCAACTTTATATGTAGGGCTTTTTTTTTTTTTAAGATTTTATTTATTTATTTGACAGAGAGAGAGATAGCGAGAGCAGGAACACAAGCAGGGGGAGTGGGAAAGGGAGAAGCAGGCTTCCCGCGGAGCAGAGAGCCCGATGTGGGACTCGATCTCAGGACCCTGGGATCATGACCTGAGCCGAAGGCAGACGCTTAACAACCGAGCCACCCAGGCACCCCTATGTGCAACTTTGAGTGGAACTCTGTTGATACAGCTATGGGTTGAGCATAACCAGAATTCCAAGTAAACCTTTCTCTTTAAGATACTGTTTAAAACAAACAGAGTCACTGGAAAGGCATTTTTGTTTCCACCAGTCAAAAGAAGCCTCTAACCTGACCGCAGAAGCAGGTGACTGGGGCGGACAGGTCCCGCAGAGCAGCATCCAGTGTCTAAATATCAAATGACACTGCAAATGTTCAGTGAGTGGCTATCGAGTTTGCGACAGTAAGTGAAACTACTTGATGGAATGATTTGTTAAGCATTTGTTAAATCCCTCAGAACAGAACGAAGGGTCAGTAAACAAGTCCAGAGAAAACCTCATTCACCAATAGAAACGTTCAGGCCCATCTACTAAGAGGTTGCGCACAGTTACTTGAAAGAAAAGCTTAATAATGTAAGCAACATTTGCAGCCTCGGAAAGGTTGATTCAAAGTATGTTTAACATGAGGGGGTCGATGAGGAATGAGTGAAAAGGATTTAAAAAGATATAGGAAACATGGAAGTCACTAATATCTTTGATAGTTTGCCTGTGAAAATGAATTGGTCCTTGGTTACTGGGACTGAGATTCTACTCTGGCTCAGGAAACCCAGTGACGCCCCTGATTCAGTAAGGTTCTAGAAGGAAGCGGTGTGAGGTTTGTTTTCATAAGTGAGTAATACTGAAACCAAAAGTTCACTCTATCTGGAACCCACAGTTGTCTTTCAGAGCAAACATTTCTGAGATAGGAAAAGTCCAAGAACTGGGGAGAATTTTCAAAGTACAAGTGCTATACCAGAGCTTGGGGAGTCCTAAAATGAGCCTCTAAAGTCTCCTAGTTCATATGCAAAAATAATTTAAAAACTATAACAGCCTAAATATGTGTGTGTGTATCTATATGCACAGGCAAGTGAGAGTGTGAGAAGTGTGGTCTCTTGCTGACTCACTGTGACCTACTCCAGCCCTGCGGCTTCCTTTCCCTCCCTCCAGCTCCACACAGCTTTCTCTGTGGACTGAGCCCTGTTGCGGAGCGCACGGTGGTTTTACCATTTGTAAAGGGTTGTAAAAACACAAAAGAATACACAATGGGGACTCCTAGTGAGCCTCAAGGTCTCAAATATTTACTCTCTGGTCCTTTACAGAAATAGTTTGCTTGTTCCTGTTCCACAGGATAGAACACTGGTCCCAATGAGCAGGTGAAGTCCAATTTACATTACCCGCATCCGTGTCTAACACCCTGCCTGGCACGATAAACACACTGGTGCTTAAAAATGAAGGTACATAACTTCCTAAGAGAAAACATCTCACTAAAGTCTGAAATTGCAACAAATTCCCCCATTTTCAGACCTCCCCAGCAGGTGATTGGTAGGATGGTCAGAATGTAGTAACTTTTGACACAGAGAAGAGTTTTAGAATCAGGTCTCTTCAGGAACTTATGTTTCTTCCCCATCTTTCAATGAGACTTATTTGATCGCTGTCTATAGTAGTTTATAGCCTTCAGTCTTAGAAATACCCAGAATTAAGGGAAATGAGATTTTTAGCCTGAAGCTACTGTTGTCTTCCAACCTTTAAAATCCTAGCCTTTTGGGGCGCCTGGGTGGCTCAGTCATTAAGCATCTGCCTTTGGCTCAGGTCATGGTCCCGGGGTCCTGGGATCAAGCCCCACATCGGGCTCCCTGCTGAGCAGGGAGCCTGCTTCTCCCTCTCCCACTCTCCCTGCTTGTGTTCCCTCTCTCTGTCAAATAAATAAATAAAATCTTTAAAAAAATTTTTTTAAGATTTTATTTATTTATTTAATTGAGAGAGAAACAGCATGAGAGGGGAGAGGGTCAGGGGGAGAAGCAGGCTCCCCGCTGAGCCGGGAGCCCGATGTGGGACTCGATCCCAGGACTCCGGGACCATGACCTGAGCCGAAGGCAGTCGCTTAACCAACTGAGCCACCCAGGCGCCCCAATAAATAAAATCTTTAAAAAAATAAAATAAAATTCTAGGGGCGCCTGGGTGGCTCAGTCGTTAAGCGTCTGCCTTCGGCTCAGGTCATGATCCCAGGGTCCTGGGATCGAGCCCTGCATCGGGCTCCCGGCTCAGCGGGAAGCCTGCTTCTCCCTCTCCCACTCCCCCTGCTTGTGTTCCTGTTCTCGCTGTCTCTCTCTGTCATATAAATAAATAAAATCTTAAAAAAAAAAAAAAATACTATTAAAATAAAATTCTAGCCTTTTGCTAAAAGCACATATCTCATTCTTGTAATGACTTTTTCCAATAGCCAATAAAATTCATCTCTATTATATTAACTTAGTAGGGCACCTGGGTGGCTCAGTCAGTTAAGCATCTGTCTTCAGCTCAGGTTATGATCCCAGGGTCCTGGGATCGAGCCCCAAGTAGGGCTCCCGGCTCAGCGGAGGGCCTGCTTCTCCCTCTGCCTGCCGCTCCCCCTGTTTGTGCTCTCTCTAATAAAATCTTTAAAAAAATAATTAATTTGGTACACATAAGATATATTATAATTTAGAAAAAGTTTGCCAAAGAAAACAAGCCCAAGACTTAAGTAATGAAGCCAGCAGTAAATCCCGAGAGGCTGATGGCCTCTAGAGAATCAGGAATACATGTGACAATGCAGGTCTCCTCTTGGGCCATCAGCTGTCACTTTCAATAGAAACCACAGAAGTCCGGGAAGAGGAGGCATGGGGGTTTGGGCCAAAATCAGTCTGCTCCTTTTCCCGTTATTATGAAAATGTCCTTTTAAGAGTAATAATATAAATATAGAGGTTAGTATGATTGAGAGATGAGACCCGAAGAGAAGGAGTGTCAAATACTACTTCGGACTTTTTAAAAGATACACAGTATTTTTAAGGATAAAAAACAACAAATAAATTCCTTCTACCACCAAAGAACCACTGTGCCCTTCTTCCCCTCCCACCCTACTGTTCCCCCATTCCACTTAACTTCTTTCTCTCTGCTTATTCCTCAAGAATGATCCACCTCAAAACCCTTCCTCCAGAAGCTTCTGCTCCTTAAGGGAGTCCTTCCTGTGGCTCCATTCCCTGAGCATCCCAACCCCCACATTATCCTGTTCCCCTCTGTGCTGCTCTGTTGTGATTTTTACATACCTTAGAGTCACGCCTCAGAGAGTCACACTACTTTATAAGACTGGCAGCAGGCTTGGACAAGGCCATAAAAGCTAAGTACGTTTTCTTCTGTACTCTCCGGAAACTCACTAATCATTTTAATAGTTGACATTCAAAAATCTCCTGTAATTCACTCATGGGGCAGACCTAGTGTGTTTTGAGCAACTTACTACAGTGAAGTCCTGTTCCAGATGACCCACGTTTCCACTGACTTAACACGGATACTCCACAGTCATGCGTCCAGCCCAGGAAAGCACTCTCCACATGAGTGCATCAGGCCCGGCATTATTTTAGATTCCATCTAATTGCTCTTTGGAAGTAGCATTGGTTTCTTCTCAACACAGGACAAAATAACTCGGATGCAGAAAAGTGATCAAAATGAACATTCTGGCAATTAGGAAGTGTTCTGTCTGTGGCCATTGCTCTAGGCATTCCACTGGAAACAGCATCGTTGTCTTAAAACTGTGTTAAATTGCTGTATCCCACTCCTGGAGGTGTTTGCTTTTTTAGATTTCCCTGAGCAACAAAAAAAAATTAGAAATGAACTCACCACACCATAGGAATATGTGTCACAAGTTTCAGACACAGGGAGACTTTGGATAACTTCTGGGGCCATCCATGGGAAAGTTCCAACCAAGGACATGTGTGTTGTATGGTTATGGAACCGAGAGGCACCAAAATCGCATATCTGAGAAAAGAGAAACAAGTATCAACCTTCAACCACTGATTAATAAAAGAATTATCTGTCACAAAAACTTACATCCGAAGTTAACAAATACTTTTGAAAAAAATTAAAAGGAGTCCTACCTTCAATACCCCATCAGCAGCTATAACAACTAAAAAAAAAAAAAGGAAAGAAAAAAATTATGACAATCATCTAATTTATTTGAGTCATCTTATGCCGAAAAAAACCCATAAACTTCTACTTCTATCTTCCATATGGCATATGAAAGGTAAAACTGAAGTATTTACTGCACTGAAGCTTTTAAAACAAGAACAAAAAACTAATTCCATGAGGTACTGACTAAAAGGCTTTCGAAACATTTGTTTAAATCAAATGTAGTACTAAGGTCCTGTAAAAATGGCACAGCTTAGTAGCAGTAAAGAGAACCAACACCTTTTTAAAGATTTTATTGATTTATTTAGGAGAGAGAGAAAGAGAGTGCTAGTGACCTCCTCAGTATCCCATGGCGGGCTCCCCGCTCAGTGGGGAGTCTCTTCTCCCTCTCCCTCTGTCCCTTCCCCATGCTCATGCTCTCTCTCTCTCTTTCCGCATGCCCGCTGTAGGACGGACCCTGGGATCATGACCTGACTGGCAGATGCTTAACTGACTGAGCCACCCAGGCACCCCAAGAACCAAATTTTTTACTTGGGTTCTGCCACGATTCTACCAGCGTGGTACTGAGGACGTCACTAGCAATTACCACTTCCTGGTATCTATCTTTCCTCCCAACTGAAGAGTGATTCTCTTGTAGGCAGGGACAACATTCATTCATTCACTTATTCATACATTCACTCACTTAACAAATATTTGCCAAGCACCTGTTATGGGCGAGGCAATGTACTATGTTCTGGAAGAGGAAGGTGAGCAAGACTGGCTTTTCTCTGCCCCTGTGGAGCTTACAGTCTCATGGGAGAGACACTGAAACCAATGTCTATAATCAAATGGGATAACACCTAAAATTAATATAATACTGTATGTTAATTATACTGGAATTAACATTTAAAAAAATTTTTAAATATATAATTATGTGGGATAAATTCTATGATGAGAGACACAGAGATTGCCTTGGAATCAAAGAGCAGGGGTATCTAAGTCTAAGAAGGTCAGCAGGAGTTTTCTGGAAGAAATGGTGCTCACACTAAGACCTGAAGAACATGCTGGGACTAACCAGACAGAGAAGCGCTGCGGGAGGACAGCATTTTCTAGGCAGAAAAAAGACCTTGCAGAAGGTCAGGAGCAGAGGGAAATGCAGGCAATTTTGGAAGGCAGGGGCCTGGTCCGGGAGGGCCTTTGTGAGAAATGGAAATCCAATGAACAATTTTAAGCAGAGAAATGAAATGGTCAAATGTGCAGAGGGGAGAGCATATGAGAGAAGAACAGAACTGGAGGCAAGGAGATCACTGTGCACCCAAGTGGTTGTAGTCCAAAGGACAAAAGGATGCCCAGACAAAGGCTGTGGCACAGAACAGGAGAGGTGGACCAAGTCAAGAAACATTTAGGAGGCCAAATCAGGGGCACCTGGGTGGCTCTGTTGGTTTAGCGCTGGATTCTTGGTTTTGGCTCAGGTTGTGATCTCATGCGTTATGATCTCACGGGTTATGGGAGCCCTGTGTTGGACTCCACCTTCAGTGGGGAGTCTGCCTCCCCTCTCCCTCTGCCCCTCCCCCTGCTCACATACTGTATCTCTCTAAAATATTTTTTTTAAATATTTTAAATATTTTTAAATATTTGCCTGGGTGGCTCAGTCGTTAAGCGTCTGCCTTTGGCTCAAGTCATGATCCTAGGGTCCTGGGATCGAGTCCCACATCGGGCTCCCTGCTCAGTGGGGCGTCTTCTTCTCCCTCTCCCTCTACCCCTCCTGTTGCTTGTGCTCCCTCACTGGAACACTCTCTCTCAAATAAATGAATAAGAAAGAAAGAACGAAAGAAAGAAAGAAAGAAGAAAGAGAGAGAGAGAGAGAAAGAAAGAGAAAGAAAGAAAAAAAGAGAAAAAAGAGAGAGAGAGAGAAAGAAAGAAAAAGAAAGAAAGAAAGAAAGAAAGAAAGAAAGAAAGAAAGAAAGAAAGAAAGAAAGAAAGAAAGAAAGAAAGAAAGAGAAAGAAAGAAAGAGAAAGAAAAAAAAAACATCTAGGAGACCAAATCAACTGGACTTAAGCAATGGGGGGGGAGGACTCAAGGATGAAATCAAATAACGAGGCAATACAGCATAATGATTAGAGCAAGATCTCTGCAATCAAACTGTTCCTTTTTATCTCATTTCTGGCTTAGGCAATTGGTATTGCCATTCATGGAGAAAAGGAATATAGAAATAACTTTTGGGGGGCAGAGAGGAAATGACAAGATCAATGGGGACATGATATATCTTAGGGTCATACAAATATCTATGTGGCATCTCCCACTAAGCAGACAGACACGTAGTTCTGCAGCTACGCTCTGTCTGGGAGTCCTAATATGCAGATGGGGCTTTTATGGGAGTGGGTAAATAAGAGGAGAAGAGGCGAGGAGACCCAAGGTAGACCTTAAAGAACCGTCTGGCATTTCTTTCCTTTTTTTTTAAATTAAATATTTTATTCATTTATATTAGAGAGAGTGAATGAGCAAGCAGGGGGAGAGGCAGAGGAAAAGACAGAATCTCAAGCAGACTCTGCACTGAGTGCAGAGCCTGATGGAGGGTTCCATCTCACAAGCTTGAGATCATGACCCCAGCCGAAATCAAGAGTTGGAAGCAACTGACTGAGCCACCCAGGTGCCCCCTGGCATTTCTTTTGTAAGCCACACAGCGCCCTGAACACACTAGCTGATCAATTCTTACTGAGCTATTACTAATGACCTTGGTAAGTGGGGAAAATAGACTCTTTGCATGGAATAGCCTAAGGGTAAATGTGATACTATATATAAACTGCCAATTTTTTCAAATAAAGATAGAAATACTGTTAATACCATATTCAGTTACTTTTTAAAAATACCTCTGCTTCTTTTTTCTCATTATAAGATTAACAAGTGCTTCATTAAAAAAGAACCTAACATAAAAACATGTAACATAGAAAATAAGAGTCTTGTTATTCCATTTCAGAACCAAAAAAAAAAATTGCTAAAAGTTAGGTCAATATTTTTTCAATGTGTTTTCCCATCAAGTAACTGCACAAATTGTAATTTGTAAAAATCCGGACAGTCTCCATTGTTACTTAGTTTTCATAATGAGAGCATGGATAAATCTGTAACTTAATCATTCTCATCCCATGAGATATTCAAGATATTCTGATAAAACAGACTTAAAAAAGAGAAGTCAAGTAACTTGTGTGGATTGAAATTCTGAGCATGAACTAAAAATCTATAGTCATGGGGCGCCTGGGTGGCTCAGTTGGTTAAGCGACTGCTTTCGGCTCAGGTCATGATCCTGGAGTCCCGGGATCGAGTCCCGCATCGGGCTCCCTGCTCAGCGGGGAGCCTGCTTCTCCCTCTGTCCCTCCCCCCCTCATGTGCTCTCTCTCTCATTCTCTCTGTCTCAAATAAATAAATAAAATCTTAAAAAAAAATAAAAAAATAAAAAAAATAAAAATCTATAGTCATAAGATTCTGATACTTCCTACTAGATTCTAAATTATTTCCTAACAACTTCCTCTTAGCCAACTCATCTCGAAAGTGTTTAGCTCCAGGAAGTTTATGTCTATGAAGAGCCAAAGGATAAGTGATGACCTAGACAAAGGAGAGAACAGTCAGCCCCAGTTGCCGGGTAGGGTCGAGCTGGTGGTCCAACCCGGATGGCTGATGAGTGGCAGCCGCCAAGAACTTCCCTTTCTCCACTCCACAGACCTCATGGTCCCGGAGGCCCAGCAAGGACAGCCGGCCGGGCCCCTGCTTCTCTTCCTCCACTTACCACGACCACCCACTGCAAGGATCACACTCTTAGCATGCACCCATTTTAACTGCAGTGATTGAAAGATTTAAAAAAAAATTAGTTCTCTTCCTCCTTACTTAGAAGAATTACTTAGAAAGCATGTAAATAAGTAAAACATGTAAATAAATTGACAGCAAGATTTTTTTTTTTTTTAAGTGGCAAGCTCTAACATTTACTTTAGCTAGTGTGGGCCAGCTAAATAATCCCACTCACTGCCTTTGTCCATTAACTTCCAAGTGACATAATAGGAGAAGCATTCTGTTACCTCCCTACTGAAAAGTAATAATGTCTAATCCTGCGAGACATTTTAAAATGCTCACTTTCTAAATTAAAAAATATAAGATCATAAATAAACTTTAGAGAGTACAGAAGAAGAGAAAGAAGAAAAAGAAAGCCTTTGCTTTCCAAACTCTGAAATGTTTTGATCATTTTTGGGCACAACACCAGGTAAAATGACAGACATAAAAAGTTTACACCAAATAATTCAGGAGTAAAAAGAACAAAACTCAAAACTGCTAGTACGGAGAACCATCTAAAAATAGGAGACTAGAAGTATATGACTACATGCTTTGATCTAGCAATACCTCTTCTAGAAAGTGATTCTAGAGAAATAATTAAAGATGTGTTAAAAATTTTTGCTGAGAAATATCAAGCTCAACATTTTTTATCATAGAAAAAAATGTAAATAACCCAAATGTCCACATTCTGTGCTGATACAATGGAATACTATGCAGCTCCTTGAAATAACAAAGAATTCTGATATTCATTAACAATGGAAAGATTTTCATGGTATCAGTGATGAGTCAAAACATCAGGGTACAAAAGATATGAAAAACACGAGCCTATTTCTATAACAAGGTGTACGTATTTCGTAATAAAATAAGTAAAATAAAAACATAGGACTACATTACCATTTCGTGACTTGAGATCTCTGTGAATCACCTTGACAGGAGCCTCCATATGTAAATAGTGCATTCCTTTTCATACAAGAAGGAAGAAAGGCTTTTAATATCATTTTCCAACATTGCATTAGTATTAACTTTCTATTTTAAAACATCAGTACTACCTTTCATATTTTTGCAAAGGATTCAGTAGCAGAAACTAAATTCTTGTGTTCTATTCTTACATGATTGATAAAATAGAGACAGGATATGTCTACATTAGGAAAATTTATATGCTAAGGAAAATTCATGTGCTTTAATCTCTTAGAAGTTAGAATTTGATTGTGGGTAAAGTTATTACAATACTTAAGGACACCTTTTCTGGAGTCTGCACAAAAACAGCACAGTTACAACTAAAAGAAGTGCTCCAATGACTAAGGTATTCCACTACCAGTTGCGCTCTAGATCCGCCAAAGCTCCGACCAAGGTTTTCAGCTTTCATTTGGATGTCTGCAGCTACCCAGTTGCAGCCTGGTTTATTTTCTCAGTACTCATTCCAGTAAGACCTTGGGAGAGGTGGAGCGCGGAGGGAACTGGTTGGATTCATAAGTTGTGGTTGGTAAAGGGCTTTATGATCCTCAGAAAAATTTACAGTAGTTACAAAATATTCTCTTTACAAGGATGAATCTTTGGGATAATCTATATTTAAATGCACTCCAAAATTCTGTCCAACAAATTGAGAATGTGTATCAAGTTACTTCAGTAAACTGAATGTATATAGTTTTATTATTTTGAATAAAATATATTTTAAAATTATACTTTAAAAGACATATTTCATAGTGATCCTCTTAGTAGTATTTGACTCTTTTTCTGTATTTATGTATTGTATACCCCCTCAGGATAAAGCAAAAGAACATTTTCTATTGAAATATATTATTTCCTTTCCCTTTACTTCTCAAGTTGTCTTTTCTAAATAATGGAAGAAACAGCTTCCCCACTGCCACAACCAAACAAGCTCCTTCTGTTAATGAACTATCCATTACATGTAATAAGTAGGCTTTGGTTCTTTTTCTGAGCATACAGAAAATTTCAATTTTATAAAGGCTAATTTTTAAAAATAATCTATTCTTTTTCTACCATTCTGATTCTTAGATATTGAAGGTCCTGTAAGAACAAAGAAAATTAAAAAATTTAAACTCCTGAGATACAAAGACATGACGGGAAAGAGTCCCATTTACAAAAGTATCAGTAATTTTAGCGATCTTAAACAAGATATAGCTAGAATACAGGAGAGCATTCTTCTAACACAAAGTTCTACATACTACACACTGAAGATTCAATAGCTACAACCTGGATAACTTTTAATAACTTCTAGGACTGAATTTCATAGTTACCTCTTTCTTGCTTAAGAACTAAAGTCAGGTAGAATCTGTTTAATTACCATTAGAGGAAGGGCTAGATAGGGTCTACACTGGCTGACAAGTAAAGAATTCCAAAAACAACACTCAGGGACTAAAGCTTTAAATAGAGGCATTTTCTTCCTTATGGCAGATACTATGAGAAAAAAAAAACTAAGTTATTTGGGTATAATGTATAGTATGCTTTTATATTTAGTGTGCATAAACACAGTAGTAATCACAATCATAGAAAAGTCTGTTTAACTTGTTTTTATGGAGCCATCCATAATTCTGCCTTATTTTTATTGCAAACAATGAAGAAGGCTAAAAAAAAACCCCACCATCATCGGTTTTAAGATTCAGGGTTCCTAAAATAAAAAATTTGACTGGTGTCATTCGGGAGAGACGGGGAATCAGTGAGGACCCTTCTGAGACTGGATCCCGGTGCACCTGCTTGAACTGTTCCGCGTACACACTGGGGAGGGACTCACAAGACTTTTAGATGTACCTGCTGGTTCGCCCTTCACATCCCTTTCTACCCAGAAAGGAGAAGGGCTTTTTTTTTCCCTTTTTCTCTTTTTTTTTTGGCTTTGAGGAGGTATTCTCTCGGCAGTGATGTTAAGCAATGCCTACTTCAAAATGCATGAATCAACTCTTATTTGAAATGAATTATTCACTCTTTGATTTCTCAACATCTTGTTGCTCCAGTGTCTTCCATCACGGTCAGACTGAAAGGTTGCAGAGCTGAATGGGACACAGAATCAACAAAAATCAAGGCTTCCTACTTCATCTCCGAGTTCTGTGCACAGCTCTGCCAGAGAGAGTTGAACTCATTCTGAAAGCACTGATTTCTTCTTCCTTTTATAGGCCATTTTAAATAGTGTTACTCGTGACTATAAATAAGTAAGTTTCTTCTCTGCCTCACTCTTCTCACCTGGGGCCAAACACATTCGAACCTGCCTCTCAGGGCAATTCCGCAGCCACAAGAAGGTGATTTTATTGCGCTGCAGTTTGGCACACGGTCCCCTGCCCTCTCTCACTTCCCCCTCCCCTATTTACCTGGAGTTCCAGTCTGCTACTTCATTAGCCCTGTTCTTTCTCTTCTTTGTCCTTCTGATAGAGTGCCAGCGGGCTTGAGAAAGCCCAGGAATAACTGAGCTGATCTGCAGCCAAGGGACTTGCCCCTCAGACAGGGACTGCACTGGGGAAGGGCGGGGAGGGACAAGGTTTACAGGCCCAGCCCAGGCCCGGGGAACGGGGGTCCCAAGGAAGCTTACGGAGCGTGTGCACAGCAGGAAGCAGAGTGACTGATGTCAGTTGATTTGTTTGCTGTCTATCTATCCTAAGTGCCATTAACTAATAACATGGGTGTAATTGGCTAAGCACCCTAAATGCAAATGTCTGTAAGGTGAAGTGCGTTCAGTCGAAGACTGCTGGGATATATATTACATTTATGGAAGTGTACTTCCACAATGCTTCTCGCGGCTCCCGGCTTACAAACAGGTGGTTCCTGCATACTACAGACTTGACTATGATGTTACACGAAAATGTCTTGAAGAATGCGAGAATTTAAGTTTGATTTGAAATGCTTGATCATGAATACACAATTAAGTTAATTAACACAGCCAAAGCCTTAAGTACACCATCCTAAACATAGAGCTTATTATTCTTATAAGGTAATGAAGTATCGTTCAGCAGCAGCATTTTGCATGAAATTAAAAAAAAAATTTTTTTTCACTTTCCCTATTTGAAGAATTTGGCAGGTGTTGATGAAACTTAAAACTGACAAGAAAATTCCCCAAAGGAAAGACTGTTACTTTTGGAAATCATTGTATGACTTCCCAGTGAAAGCCAAGTATGAGTTGCTCTCCTTACTGAGCGCTAAATATCCTTTGACTTGATCTGTAAAGAGATGCTTGTAGAGATTGGAGGAGCAAAATGCAAAGGAGTGAATTGCCCTGGTAAAATCTGGACAACTTGCTTTCTAGGGGTTGCTAGAATACAAATGTAACTAACAGTGTTCATTATTTAGATGAAGCTGTTTCCAAAGCAACTTTGACAGTTATAAATAAAACTCAGAAACCTTCAGTTAGGAAAATGGAAAAAAAAAGATAAAAATAAATGGAATTTAAATTGCCTTAGAAAGCATTAGTCTATGCCGGAATTTATGAGGGAAAAAGAACTGGGCACCTTGTTTAGGGGTTCTGTGTATTAAAAATATTTCATTTCCAGGGTGATTTCCAAGTTTACATTAAATAGAAAATAAAATCTGAATTGCTTTCACATGGCAGGGCAAATAAAACTTTTTTTTCAAAGTGGTTACGGTTTTTACCATATTATTATGTACACAAATTGAGTAGGACTAATCCTACAATAAATCACTTTTTCTGGGTACTGAGTCTAAGTGGAGACTTGCGGAACAACAGAATTATGAGCTTTCTGTTTAATGTGTCAAGGAGGCTGGTCAATTACAATGTCACAAAATGTGGCAAAAATGGCTTTGAAATGAATTATTCATTCTTTGATTTCTGGAATCAAATGAGAATCTAAAGTCTTATTTTTTATTGTTTTTACTGATTTCCGTGAAAATCACTGATTTTGTTAGAACTTAGTTTTAGGGAAAGAAAGCGAAGAGAGGGCGCCTGGGTGGCTCAGTTGGTTAAGCGACTGCCTTCAGCTCAGGTCATGATCCCGGAATCCTGGGATCGAGTCCCACATCGGGATCCTGGCTCAGCGGGGAGCCTGCTTCTCCCTCTGACCCTCTCCCCTCTCATGATGTTTCTCTCTCTCTCTCAAATAAATAAATAAATAAAATCTTTTAAAAAAAAAGTGAAGAAAGAAAAGGAATGCAGGAGTGGATAGGCAGTGACTTAAAATATCTATAAACCCCCCCAACCCCCCAAAAAAGAGAGAGAGAATGAGAAAGAGACAAACCAAGAAAAGACTCTTAACTATAGAGAACAGATGTTTACCAGAGGCGAGGTTGTGGGGGGAGGCGGGTCGTGAAACAGGTGAAGAGGATTAAGGAGTGCACTTGTTGTGATGAGGACTAATATACAGAATTGTTGAATCACTATATTGTACACCTGAAGCAAATGTAACACTGTTATATAACTATACTGGAATAAAATAAAATAAAATAATCTGTACAGAAAGTTGCAGAATTCTTGCTAGTTATAGTCTAAAAAAGAGTAACAAATCTTCAACCTTAAGTCACCATGTCACGAAGGGAAAACATGCCCCACCAATTCTGTAAGAATACAGGAAGCTTTATTACCTTTGGCTACATCAGTGGCCCAGGTCATAATGTGATCCATGTCCATCTCTTCACTTCTGTTACTGTTAATGTAATCATAGAGTGATCCCAGAGAAGCATATTCTAGTTTCAAAGAAAAAGATAAGCATACAATTAAAACCAAGGGGCATTTCAGAAATAAGACTGTGTACACCTGAAACTAATATATATCAACTCTACCCAAATGAAAAAACAAAAAACAATAAAAAATAAGACTTTAATTCTCATCAGGAAAATGTGTTAAAGAATTTACCAAAGGACATTAAAAGCACATAAAAACTGTTCCACGCTGTGGTTTCTAAAAGTCATTATCCTCCTGAAAAGAAATTTGTTAAGGACAAGACCACTGACAGAATGAATGGTAAAACTTCAACTCAGGATGAACTCAAGAGCCTTCTGGATGGAACTGAGAAACACAGGGAGGTGTTGGAAGAATGCATCTGAAACAAAGGCAGACATGTATACAGGTATTTCTTTAAAAACTATCATTCTAATGAGACAGAGGAAATTAAAATATATAAGCAGAGCATTTATGTGACAAGGTAAACAAATCAATCCTTGTTGCATCAGGATTTAGAAGAGCTCTCAAAACTTAAGCACACACACATAAAAACCACAAGAGAGTGAGAAAATTCCTTTAAAAATGGCTTTGAGTGCATCCGCCTTCAGCTCAGGTCATGATTCCAGGGTTCTGGGATCAAACCCCACATCGGGCTCCTTGCTCCATGGGAAGCCTGCTTCTCCCTCTCCCTCTCCCCCTGCTTGTGTTCCTGCTCTCGCTGTCAAATAAATAAATAAAATCTTTTTTAAAAAATTGCTTTGAGATATAAATTACATACCATAAAATTCACCTACTATCAGTGTACAATTGGGTGATTTTCAGTAAATTGAGAGAGCTGGGCCACCACCGCCACAATCCAATTTTAGAACCTTTCCAGCACTCCGAACAGTTCCCTTGTCCCTATTTGCAGTTCAGCCCCACTCTCAACCCCAGCCCCGCAGCCTCATTTCTGGCTCTACAAATGTACCTTTTCTGGATATTTCATATACATGGAATCATACAGTGTGTGGCCTTTTGTGTCTGACTTCTTTTCCTTCACAAGATGATTCCAAGCTTCATTCATGCCGTAGCATGTATCAGAACTTCAATCCTTTCTATTGCTCAGTAACAGTCCGTTGTGAGGATTTACCACAATTATTTTATTCACTCACCGGGCAACAGACATTTGGGCTGTTCCTGATATTTGGCTATTAGGAATAATGTCCTATGAACACTGTGTACATTCCTTTGTATGGAAATAATGTTTTCATTTCTCTTGGGTAGATTCCTAGATGTGGAACTGCTGGGACATATAGGGAGTTTCGGTTTAACTTTCTAAGAAACTGTCAAACTGCTTTCCAAAGAGGCTGTACCATTTTATACTCCCACTAGCACTCTACGAGGACTTCAGTTTCTTCACATCCTTGCCAACACCTGGTACTGTCCATGTTCTTAATCACAGCCGTTTTAGTGAGTATAATTCCAGTGGTATCTCATATTGTTAACTGCACTTTCCTAATGACTAATAAAGTTCAACATCTTTTCACGTGCCCAGGAGCCCCGAGAATATATTCTTAGGCAAAATGTTTATTCCAATAGTTTGCCCGCTTTAAAATTTGGTTGTTTTGTTAACATGAATTTTAGGATTTCCTTGTTTATTCTGGAAGCAGGTCCTTTATCAGATTTATGATTTGTAAGCATTTTCTCCCAGTCTGGAACTTGTCTTTTCATTCTCTTAACAGCACCTTTCAAAGACCAGAAATTCTTAATTTTGATGAAGTCAAATTCATCATTTTCTCTTTTATAGATTGTTTTTGGTGTCGTATCTAAGAATTCTGCCTAACTCAAAGGTAAAAAGATTTTCTCCTATTTTTCTTCTGAGAGTTCTACAGTTTTAGCTCTTAACACTTAGGTCTATGACCCATGTTGGGTCTATGACTTATTTTTTGTGTGTGGTTTAGGATTTAAAGATTTTATTTATTTATTTGACAGAGAGAGACACAGCGAGAGAGAGGGAACACAAGCAGGGGGAGTGGGAGAGGGAGAAGCAGGCTTTCCGCTGAGCAGAGAGCCCGACGTGGGGCTCAATCCCAGGACCCTGGGATCATGACCTGAGCCGAAGGCAGATGCTCAACCGACTGAGCCACCCAGGCGCCCCATGGTTTAGGATTTAATACCATTTTTTTACATGTGGATTTCTAATTGTCCCAGCACAATTTGTTGAAAATACTATCTTTTGGGATGCCTAGGTTGCTCGGTCAGTTATGCATCTGCCTTTGGCTCAGGTCATGATCCCAGAATCCTGGGATCAAGCCCCGCATCAGGTTCCTTGCCTCAGCCGGAAGCCTACTTCTCCCTCTGCCTGCCACTCCCCCTGCTTGTGCTCTCTAACAAATAAATAAATAAAATAAATTTTTTTTAAAGTTAAAAAAAAAAAAAGAAAGAAAATACTATCTTTTACCCATTGAATTGTCTCGGCACCTTTGTTGAAAATCAATTATCAATCAGTGTTAAGAGTTTTTCCCCTAAATTCTTAATTTTGTTCCATTGGCTACATGCCTGTCCTTGGGCCGATATTGCATGTATCCTAATATCACTGACTACCACAGATTTATAGTAAATATTGAAATGAGGTAGTCTAAGTCTTCAACCTTAGTTCTTTTAAAATTCTATGTCTTTTGCATTTCTTTGTGAATTTTAGAATCACCTTGTAGTTTCTTATTTTAAAAAACCTGCTGGGATTTAGATAGGAATTATTTTGAATTTGGGGAGAATTGCCATCTTGACAATAACGAGTCTTCCAAACCATGAACATGTAATGTTCTTCATATTGTTTAGATCTATAGTTTGTCTCAGCAATGTTTTATACTTTTCATGATAAAAAGTCTTACACTTTATTAAATTTATACTCAACTATTTTATTCTTTTTGATACTACTGTGAATGAAATTGTATTTTTTTAAGATTTTATTTTTAAGTAACCACTACATCCACCATGGGGCTCGAACTCACAACCCCAAGATCAAGGGTCACATGCCCTACTGACTGAGCCAGCCACATGCCCTGAATGAAACTGTTTCTTAATTAATTAATTTGTGGATTCCTTGGGATTTTCTACATACAGGATCACGTCATGTAAGACAGTTTTATTTCTTCCTTTCCAGTATGGTCTCCTTTTATTTTTCTTGTCTAATTGTACTGGCTTAGAACCTTCAGTATAAGTATAATGTTGAATAGATGTGGCAAGAGCAGAACCTCACTGCCTTGTCCCCAGTCTTAGGGTAAGAACATTCAATTTCACCATTAAGTGTGACATTAGCTGTGGGTTTAGATGCTATTTATCAGGCTGAGAAAATTCCCTTCTGTTCCTACTCTGTTGAGATTTCTAATGATAAATGGCTGTTGTACTATGCCAAAAAGTTTTGTCTTTTTATTCTATTATCAATTTTAGTGCCTTACGTTAACTGATTTTAGATGTTAAACCAACCTTGCGTTTTTGGGATAAATTCCATTTGGTAATGGTATATAATCCTTTTTACAGGTGGCTGGATTCAGTTTGCTAATACAGCTCTTCCTCGACTTACAATGGGGTTACATATCAATAAGCCCATCATAAGTTGAAGACACAGTTAAGTTGAAAAATGCATTTAGGGGCACCTGGGTGGTATAGTTGGTTGGACATCCGATTCTTCATTTCAGCTCAGGTCGTGGTCTCAGGGTTGTGGGATCGAGCCCCGCACTGGGCTTTGTGCTCAGTGGGGAGTCTGAGGATTATCTCTCTCCTTCTGCCCCCGCTCAAATAAATAAAATCTTAAAAAAATAGTAAACGCATTTAGTACACCTAACCTACCAAACATCATAGCTTAGCCTAGCCTATTTTCTTTTCTTTTATTTTTTTTAAAGATTTTATTCATTTATTTGACAGAGAGATAGCGAGAGCAGGAACACAAGCAGGGGGAGAGAGGGAGAGGGAGAAGAGGGCTCCCCGCTCAGCAGGGAGCCCGATGTGGGGCTCGATCCCAGGACTCTGGGATCATGACCTGAGCTGAAGGCAGACGCTCAACGACTGAGCCACCCAGGCACCCCAGCCTAGCCTATTTTAAACTAAGCGCTCAGAACACTTAGATTAGCCCATAGTTGGGCAAAATTGTCTAATGCAAAACCTGTTTTATAAGGAAGTGTTGAATACCTCGTGTAATTTACTGAGTACTGTACTGAAAGTGAAAGATAGGATGACTGTACGGGGAAAGAACGGTGGTAAGTATGTCAGTTGCTTACTCTTGGGATCATGTGGCTGACCGGGAGCTGTGGCTCTTGCCGCCGCTGACCAGCATCACAGAACACGGTACCACATATTATCAGCCCCAGGAAAGATCAAACCTCAGTATCTCAAGTCCTGAAGTACGGTTTCAACTGAATGCACATTGCTTTCGCACCAACATAAAGTCAAAAAACTGTAAGTTGAACCACTGTAGTTTGGGAACCTTCTGTATGTAGTTAAGAATTTTTACGTCTATGTTCATGAAGGATATTGGTCTATAGTTTTCTTTTCTTAATATGTTTTTGTCTGGCTTCGGTATTGGGATAATACTGGCCTTACAGAATGAGTTAGTAAGTGTTCCTTCCTCCTTTATTTTCTGAGAGAATATGGGAAGGATTGATGGTGTTTTTTTCCATAAACATTTGATAGAATTCACGAGTGCAATCATCTGGGTCCAGGCTTTTCATTATGGAAATATTTTATATTATTAATTCAAATTTCTTTATTATAGGTCTGTTCAGATTTTCTGTTTCTTCTTGAGTCAGTTTTGATAATTTGTATCTTTATAGGAATTTGTTTATTGCATCTAAATTGCCTAATTTGGTGGCATAAAATTGATGACACCATTCCCTTATAATCCCTTTAAATCTGTAGAGGCCATAGTGCTGTCCTCTCCTTCATTTCTGAGTTTGCTAATATGTATCTTCTCTCTTTTCTCTTGGTCAATCTAACTAAAGGTTTGTCAGTTTTAATGATCTTTTCAAAGACCAAATTTTTAGTTTCA